CCTTGTGCTGCTCTGTATGTGGTGTTCCTAACGTTTACAAACTGACTGAGAGGTGGGCAGGACAGACCATGAATGATTTTTTACATCAGACAAATGTTTGAGCACTTAATGACATTTTCCCAGATTAACAATTTATGTTTTAGTAAAATGCTACAATGATGATGTCTTAGAGGCTTTTTATCCTATCCAGTATTTTAATTGTCTGTGTGTAAAGTGACTCTATGGGTTTTAATGTTGTTGTTTTTTTGCCTGTGACCAGGTTGTTAGACAGTAGGTTATATATGATAAAAGTATTGAATGCATAAATATTTTAGCTGCCTGCAGTGACATATGTGACCTTATGAACCGGAAGTTAGATATATTAAATTTAACACGGTTACATACCTTTTTAATTTGTGATTTAAAAGTTAATTTGGAGTCAGTTTGGACCCCAAGATATTTAAAATCAGATACAATTTGTAATTTGTCCCCCTCCACGTAGACATCTGATCAGCCTTAAGTTTAAAGCCTTATCAGTTTACTCATTGAGTAATTATGCTGAAAATGTAGCTTCCTGTATCACAGGATAAAATTAAACAAATTCACATTTAAATATTTATTTATACTATATTACTGTATAGTTGATAAAAAAAAATGTAACCCTGATGAGCCGCTAGAAGCTTTCAGATGCTTTTAGAGTCCTTAAAATCTAATGGGGTGATGTGAAGTGTGAGATTTTGTCCTTAAAGCACCCATGTTTCAGCCGTTTCTCAGCATGCCTTACTCTATAATGTTCTCGACTTGATGAAAATTCAGCCTTAGGTATTTTCAGAGCATCTCTCGTAAGTTTTTATACATTCATTAAAGCTTTGTGAAGTCTTCTCTAACAGTCATTACTCCTCAATGTCATCAAACCTCATTACCAAGTTTTCATCACCACATGTTGGCCAGTTTCAACATTAGATCTGTATGTGATCTTTTTTGAACACCAAGAGCTTTGCGTGAAAACAATGATAATTATCACTGTAATTTTCTCTTAATAAAATGATAGCATGATAAATAAACCTAAATATAATGTCCATGCTTTATTTAATGATTATTTAAAACTAGTTTTAATTCAAATAAGCAACACTGAACTACATTTAAAGCAATATGCAAGCAATATAAAGAGCGTACGGAAAATATTCAGACCTCCTTCAATTTTTCACTCTGTTTTATTGCAGCCGTTTGCTAAAATCATTAAGTTTTTTCCCCTCATTAATGTAAACACAGCACCCCATATTGACAGAAAAACACAGAATTGTTGACATTTTAGCACATTTATTAAAAAGGAAAGACTGAAATATCACATGGTCCTAGCTATTCAGACCCTTTGCTTAGTATTTAGTAGAAGCACCCTTTTGATCCAATACAGCCATGAGTCTTTTTGGGAAAGATGCAACAAGTTTTTCACACCTGGATTTGGGGATCCTCTGCCATTTCCTCCTTGCAGATCTTCTTCAGTTCTCACAGGTTAGATGGTAAACGTTGGTCATTTTCAATCTCTCCAGAGATGCTCAATTGAGTTTAAGTCAGGGCTCTGGCTGGGCCATTCAAAAACAGTCACAGAGTTTCAATTTCTAATTTTAGAAGAATATATATATATATATGAGCAATATCACATGAGTAGCAGTGTGCTATGGCTGTATATCAGCACTGGTGGGAGGCGTGCATTGCCTTAACGCCCCACTAGTGCTGATATACAGCCATAGCACACTGCTACGAGTATGATATTGCGTTTATCCAACAGTTCGACGGCACAATCTTGTACATAAAAAAGAAAATCAAACACATAGAGTCTAAAACCCCTTTGTATTAGAAACTACTTTCTTCCGCCATTCATTCACATCTGCAGCTGACGTCAGAACAGCAGAAGCCGTTACTAATTCACCAACGTCACTTTAGAGCTAGTGTTTGAATGATTCTCTATAGCGAATTTGTAGAGCCGTTTCTGGTATGTGACCCCCTTAAGGTGATGACAAAACAGCAAATTTTGCTAACATTTTAAGATTATAAGGCTGAACGTGACATGAAATGCCATCCGTCTACAGAGATTTCTCACCAGACTGCTGTTGTGTTTGCGATAAGGAGGGACAAGGCTGAATCCACCTTCTTATTTACAGCTTCTTATTGACTGTCCGGTCCACCTTAAAAACCACGAGGCTTTCGTTTTTCAGCTTTTTAATTCGTGTTCAAGAGGACACACTGAGCAAGGGCTTATTATGTGGTTCTAGCGCCATCTTGTGGATAGACAACGTCAACCGCCGCCAACAAGCTCTCAGAAATTGTAAATATTTTTAAATAGGCACTATTCTTGAAAATAAACTCCATAGTTGCAATCTAAACAACTACATTCTCGATTAAAAAAGCCTCAAAAGTATATTTTGTTGTCTAACCGCAGTAATATTTGTCAAACTGTAGTGTCTGCTTGTTGCTGGCTTTAGTTGGGGCGGAGCAATACACAAAGAGTAAAGAGGCTATATATTGAAAAATGTTATTATTACTCTGATCATATAACCCAGCACTAGTATCACCTATGCTGTATAAATCAAGTGCGCTGGTGTTTGTGTCGAGTGGGTTGAGACGCTCTTTATCTTTGACGAGTCTCTAATTAAATGCAGATGATTCTTGCCCTCGTCTTCATCCCACCATGACTCATGAACTGTAGGTTTAGGCCACAAAAGCTTAATCATGGCTTCAATCGGGTTCCCTCCATGACTTCATCTGCTGTCACCCCCCGAGGCTTTAATATGCACCTTTCCAATGATTCACCTCTGCGTAAACGGAGGACATGATGGTTTCACTCAATAACACTGATTCAGCTATGTGTGTGTGTATGCGTGCGTGTGTTTGTGTGTGTGTGAAATTGAACTGGATCGGTGATGAGGTTGATGTGGTAAATTCCCACAGAAAAGCACTGTGGTACAGTGATGGTAATAGCATGGTATTTTGAGGTATTGCGAGGAGCTGAATGATGGCAATATTCATGGATGTGGTTTTTACTTCAAGATACTTCAAAGAATGGTTTATTTCCATCCTAGAAGAAGATTTGTTTTATGCTCACAGGTTAACTAAAACCGTGATGAAATTAGGCTGTAATTAAATAAAAGAATTTGGTTTAATAATAATAAAATAAAATAATATGCAGTTTTAAAGTTATCATAGATTGTACGTGATTTTAATACAGCATTAATATAATATTTATGGAGTCAATCTAGGGCCATATATATATACTTACTAAATAAAAGAAAGTTTTGCAAACAAAAAATAAAGTATTGAGCAAAAAAATAAAAATAAATACATGCAAATCGCCAAAAATCACAAAGCAAAAACTAACTTTTGAGAAATGAAAATTAATTTTACTTGCAAAAATAAAGAACTGCCAAGGGAAACTTTTTTTGAGAAATAAAAAGGAAATTTGCAAACAAAAAAAAAAACTAAAAAAAAAACTAAAAATAAAAAATAAAAAAAATAAAAATCAAGCAGTGCAAAAAGCTAAATTAAACCAAAATATATGCAATAAAGAAAAAAAAATATTTGTTTATTTATAAATATTTTTTTATTTATTTATAGCATTAGCATAGCATTGCCTTTACAAAACCAAATGTTACAAGGGAACTTGGGTGTTCACTGGGCTGTAAGACCACCGTGATACTGTGTCTCCAGGTGATGAAATCGCTTAAATGGAGGCTGGTCCAGGCCTGCCATAACCCTCCAAAGTTCCCTTGACTCCGCCCGCTTGTCAAATCAGGGTCACAAAGTAAAACGCACAGAAACATGAAGTGCAAAGTGAAAACAGCATCGCAAACTCACAACTGACTACAAAGCAAATCAAATTGAGCATTGCAATTGACTGGACGGGTTTAGTAAAAGCAATGCTATAAAAAAGTGTTTTGCAAATATATATAGGTAATATATATATATATATATTTTTTTTTTTTTTTTTCTCAATTTTTATTAGCAGTATTTTTTGTTTACATGTCAAATGTTCCTCAGCTTAATTTTCCATTTGCAGTTTTATATTTTTGTAAGTAAAATAACTTTCTTTTCTGAAATTAATTTTCGCTTTCGATTTGCTTTTATTTATTTATTATTATTTTTATTTTATTTTTTTGCTCAATGCTTACATATATATGGCCCTAGATTGACTCCATAAATATTCAACATTTTTAAAGATTTGATTGAGGTAAAAGGCTTTTTTATGGGTAAAAAGATTGTTTTGATTGATCTTTTACCGAGGAGAAAAAATCTAGATCTAATGTTAAGAGGATGGACTCCTCTAAGCAAGATTTCATGAAATGTACAGTATGCAGCTGAAAAATTTATTATTCTTTATGTGAAAAAACATGTTTTCTTTTTGTTGTGCAAAACATGTTAAAAATATTCCTAAGTGCTGTTCAACAATCCAAGGAAATGTTTTACAGTATTTCCTATTATATGTTTCTTCTGAAGAAAGCCTTTTTTAATTTGGCTGGAATAAAAAAGTAAAAGCTGCTAAGGTCAATATTTTTAGCCCCCTTATTATTGTCTACAGAACAAACCACTGTTGTCCAATGACTTAATTAATTAACCTAACTTGCCTAATTAACCTAGTTAAGCGTTTAAATTGCACTTTAAGTGAATACTAATGTCTTGCAAAATAACTAGTACAACATTCTGCACTGTCATCTTGACGAAGACAAAAGAAATTAGTTAATAAAATTTGTTGTAAAATGTATTAAAAAATGTGTTGAAAAAATATTTCCTGTCAAAGAACACTTGGGAAAGCTGAAATCTTAAATAAGCACACATGAGCTCATTCTACCAGAAAAAGTGACTGTTTGCCTTATATCTGGGCCTCATTATTCCCTCAAGTAAGAAATTCACTTTCCAGAACCATCACCTTCTCTGTTCCCTACTGGTGTAATGATTGAGTCCTAAATAACTTTGGATGAAAGTGTCTGCCAAATGTTCCATTGATCATTTTTTCTTTTTATTCATAGTGTGTAAAGGAGACCCAAAGGCAGTAGACAAGGTGAAGATGTCTGTCAAGGCGACGGGTCTGCAGCGTTCCCGTTCAGACGCGGGCCGGGACAACGAGCACCGCAAGCCTCCCTCAGGTCTGATGAAACCATCCGCCGGCAGCTCTTTCGGCTACAAAAAACCTCTGACCACTGGCACCGCCACTGTGCTGACGCCAGGGGGTGCCACCATCACCAGCGGATCTGCTACGGTGGGCAAAACCCCCAAATCCTCAGGCATCCCCATCAAACCGGTGCCAGGCGGAGGAGCACGCAAAAACAGCCTAGACGCCAGCGGATCTGAACAGGGATTTCTTGCACCCAACGCCCGTGGCAGTATTCAGTATCGCAGTCTGCCACGACCTGCCAAAAACAGTGCCATGAGCCTAACGGGACGGCCTATCAGTGGCAACATCGATTCCAGTCTCCTCTCTCTCAAACCTGTGCCAGCTTTACCCAACACCATGCCCAGCCGAGGGAAAGACGGAGGCAGCCTGAAAGCAGCCAGCCGCACCAGCAGCACTGGACCGGTCAACCAGACGGACCGCGAGAAGGAAAAGGAACGAGCAAAGGCCAAAGCAGACCTGGAGATCAGCTGCCTGAAGGCTGAGAGCCAGGCGGATGGGTGCGGGGAAACCCTGGAGAAGATACATCGAGTGCGGAGGACCAGCAGCAGTAAATACCCTGAGCTGAGCTCTCCCACCAGCACACCCAGGTAAAAGCATACAGTTGAATCAAATTATGAATTGTTTTTTCAAATATTTCCCAAATTAACCAGTTAAACTCCGCGCACGGCACGTCATCGACTTTCGCTTTAAGATTTAAAGGGCTAGCATTGCACCAGACCCTCTTAAGTGGTTTCGTTTGAAAGTGTAGAATCTATATTTTATGCACATATGCATCACTTTGGGTTTTATTCTACAGTGCAAAAGTTGTTTACACTTCAATTCACAGTATTTTGGATACCCGAGCTGGGTATTTTACAGTGGTTCATTTTAAATTTCTTTTATTATATTGCCGGTTCTCATATGGTTCTAGCATTATTTTTACTGAATTATATTCACATATCAAACAGTTGTCGAATGAATCGCCGTGTTTCCATGGCGCAGAAATGAAAACAATACATTTATGATCAATAAGCAGCCCCAGATAGCACAGACAGCTGTCATCTCTTACCTTATGCTGTGCGCTTCAGGGCCATTTCTCCTCTGTTTTTGAGGTGATGTGCATAAGTAATCCTTTTATATGTCTGATATGGTCCAAACACAGTTAATTATGTTTGATCAAACAAAAGAATAGTGAAATATGAAAACAATGATCAATCCCTGTGGCTTGTACAGCACCTCTCATCAGTTGTAATGCAATAACTTTTGCATAGATTATGGTAGAGACATGTTTCTTTTTTCCTATGATTACAGCCATGTGCAGAAACCACCAAAATTAATTACAGCATGCTAGATCACACAGAACATAAAAGGTACACTTTCAAATTTGCGTTTTTAAAAAAAAATACAGAAAGCGCCTCTTTTTTTAGGTGTTTATTATAACACAGATAACATATACAGATATTTTAAACACTTTCAACAGTGTTTTATTAAAATTCAAAATGTTTTCTTTAAAATAATACCAATTTTTTGCATTTACACCTCTGCATGTAGATTAGGGAAGCTTTTAAATCTAGGTAGACAAAATCCAGGCGGAAATCCCAAAATAACAGCAGAGCGAGGACATATTCGCAGTATGTCTGATAATATTTTTTCAATCTTATTTGTTTTATTTCGGCTAGAATAAAAGCAGTTTGTAATTTTTTAAAACAATTTTAAGGTCAATTTTATTAGCCTTGATAAGCAATTAACAGGGAGCAGACCATCATTATCAAATGACTTGCCAAATTACCCAAACTTTAACCTAATCTAGTTAAGCCTTTAAATGTCACTTCAAGCAAAATACTAGTATCTTGAAAAATATCTAGTCAAATATTCAAAACTATTAGGCTTACAAATGTGTTCTGAAAAAATATTCTGTCTGTCAAACAGAAATTGGGGAAAAAAATACAGGAGGGCTAATAATTCTGGAGGGCTAATAATTCAGACTCCAACTGTATATCAAACAACTATATCATGTTATTAATTCATTAATAACTACTGTATATCAAATATATCAAACATTCATTGCAACTCAAATTCATTATATTAGTAATTAAATTGTGGTTAAATAAACTCATATTACTGTACTGTAATGGAATGGAAATAACCTAAAATCTTCTAAATGGCATAAAATAAACATATATTAAAAGATATATAATGCAATAAAATCTAATCTGAATATAAAATAAAATTTATAGCAGTTTTAAATAAAATTGAAAACATCTGGGAAATCTACAAGAAATAAAACTTTCTCTTGAGGAAAAATATAATAAGAAATACTATGAAAAATGTCCTTGCTCTGTTAAACACTTTGGGAAATATTAGAATATAAAGAAATAATATAAATTAATTTATGAAATTTAGGATGGGGCGGCATGGTAGCTCAGTGGTTAGCATTGTCGCCTCACAGCTAGAAAGTCACTGGTTCAAGTCCCAGCTGGGCCAGTTGGTGTTTTGTGTGGAGTTTGCATATTCTCCCTGTTTTGGCGTGGGTTTCCTCCGGGTGCTCCGGTTTCCCCCACAGTCCAAAGACATGAATTGAATAAGCTAAATTGTCTGTAGTGTATGTGTGTGAGTGAGAGTGTAGGGTTGTTTCCCAGTACTGGGTTGCAGCTGGAAGGGCATCCGCAGTGTAATACATATGCTGGATAAGTTGGCGGTTCATTCCACTGTGGCGACCTCTGATAAACAAAGGGACTAAGCCAAAAGAAAATGAATGAAGTTTAAGATGATGTTCTTTTGCATGGCAATGTATATAAATAACAGAACAATCAATATTTGGATTTTTCAAATAATAATTGCGTATCAATTTCCAACATAAAAATGTGACAGCAGTAGCTATGCAGCACTTCAAAAACTAAAATAGCAGGAATATATAATTGATTGGTTTTCGAATAGTAAGCAACTTTTTTTGCAGGAAATGCTCTGCAGATGCTATGTGTGTGTGTTTACATTACGCAAGAGATGCTCTTCAATTATTCAAAATCTTCCTTTCTGGACTGGAGTATCAAGAGCCTCTGAGGCTGATTTTTAGTTCCCCTTGATTTAGTTCCTGTGGATGTTCTACATGACCACAGCAGGTCTTTGAGTTCACCTAAATAAAAATCTAATATATGGCAATATATGCAAATCATATATACAGTTGAAGTAAGAATTATTAGCCCCCCTTTTAATTTTTTTTTTCTATTTTAAATATTTCCCAAATGATGTTTAACAGAGCAAGGAAATTTTCACAGTATGTCTGATAATATTTTTTCTTTTGGAGAAAGTCTTATTTGTTTTATTTAGGCTAGAATAAAATCCGTTTTTAATTTTTTAAACACCATTTTAAAGTCAATATTATTAGCCCCTTTATATATATATATATATATATATATATATATATATATATATATATATATATATATATATATATATATATATATATATATATACAGTATATACACATTTTTGATAAAAAAAAATATCTAGTCAAATATTATTTATTGTCTGTCATACCCGGAGAGACGGATCCAAACGCAAATGCTGTTAACCCAAAGGATTTTATTAACTCTTCAAAACAATGATGAGCCGAGGCTTATGACTCAAATGTAAATGATGAGATCGCTCTGCGAGAACGAAAGGTAACAAGGCAACAGTGTCCAAACCGGCAGGCGTGAGAGAGGACAGGCAGGCGAGCATCGATCGGGAGGCAGATGGGACAACGGAGGACAGTCAAGTTCAGCTTCGGACAGACGAAATCGAAAGTAGGTGGCTGGCCGGGGTGAATCCAAAAATAAAACAGAAAAAACACAGGCAACCGAGCAAAATCTGGGCAGAAGAGAAAAACAGAATCAGAACATGAAGTAATGAATGACAATGACAAGAATCAAGACATTGTAGCGAGATAATTATTAGCAAGGCTATTATTAGCAGGTTATGGTAATTAGACAAGTTATAATTGTGTAATGATGGTTTGTTCTGTGTAGACTATCGGAAAAGAATATAGCTTAAAGGGGCTAATAATTTTGACCTTAAAATGGTTTTAAAAAATGTAAAACTGCTTTTTTTTCTTGTCGAAATAAAACAAATAAGACTTTCTCCAGAAGAAAAAATATTATCAGACATACTGTGAAAATTTCCTTGCTCTGTTAAACATCGTTTGGGAAATATTTAAAAAAGAAAAAAATTCAAATGTGGTTTAATAATTCTGGTTTCAATTGTATCTTCATCAGAATTCTGCTGCTAATTATAATAATAACCTTTATTTAACCAGGTAAGTCAATTAAGGACCTAGAGGCAACATGAAAAGTACATGCGGTACAAAGCAGTAGGGACACGATACAATAACAATTTCACAAATGCAGATAATAACATATAAAACCAACAAAAAAACTAAAAACAAGCACAATGATCTTGAACTATTGACTGAGTAGAATTTGTAAAAGATGATAGCGGAATGAAAGTGCTGAGCTTTAAGGTCTGCTGCAGATGATATCAAGCATCAGCAGCAGAAAACTGAAAAGAGTAAGGACCAAGTGAAGTGCGAGCTTTGGGTATGCAAAGGTTAATGAAATTATAATATAAAATAATTCTCTGTGTTTCTTGAGCAGGTTATTAAGCAGCAAGTCTCTAGCCCATCCGCCTAGTCTGGCTCACCTGGACAAGCTGAACTCCAACAGTCTGGACTCCTGCATCCCCATCCATGACCTTCCCCCAAAGATCCCTCCGTTCTCCAAGCTGCAGGACCTGGCGGGCGGCCGTGTGGCTCCACGCCTCAGCCCGAGCCCCGCGCCGGTGCTGCACATCGACTCTCCGAGTTGTTTCTCGGGTCAGGCTCTGTCTGTCAGCAGCTCACCTATCCTTTACCCGAAGATGTCCGGCCTGCACCGCAGCATGGAGTCTCTGCCGCTGCATATGAGCCTTCCTGCTAAAGCCGATCTGGGGGAGCGAGAGGAGGGCAGGAGCACCGGGACGTGGGGTGCCAGCAGCCGGACGTCTGTCACTTTAGGAGACAGGTGAGGCCGGGACTTTATTTCCCAAATGATGTTTAACAGAGCAAGGAAATTTTCACCTTATTTCCTTAAATAGTTTATTCTTTTGGTGAAAGTCTTATTTGTTTTATTTTGGCTAGAATAAAAGCAGATTTTAATTTTTTAAAACCATTTTAAGGTCATTATTATTAGCCCCCTTAAGCTATATTTGTTTTGATTGTCTACAGAACAAACCATCATTTGGGAAATATTTTAAAATGAAAAAAAAATTACAGGAGGGCTAAAAATTTTCCCGTCAACTGTATGTGTGTATTTAATTGACTTTGCATCAGACTACAAAAAACGAATAACCATTTGTGTGAGGCATTTAAAATGCAGTTTCTTGATGATGTTTTCTCTGCTGGCTGCTGTTTAGCCCCATTCACACGGGGCTTCAGCGTCAACGCTTACCGTTTACTTTGAATGGGTGACGTCAGGCGTTGCCGAACTGCATTGTGGATCCGTTGGCGCTGATTCAGAGGCGTTTCTCGCTGCAGAAGTTGGGACTAGTTTAACTTTTCAAGCGCGGATGGAAGCGTCAGCCAATCAGATTGCTGTATGCAAATACACCAGCTCACACAGTGGCCTATTGCTGACGGAATTTCATTGGCTGACGCTGCTATGACGATCGCAGCAACCCCAACTTCAGTCAAGCGTTGACTCTGAAGCCCTGAATGGGGCGTTATCAGTCCCATACAATTTTTTTTTAATCCTTTTTCTGAAAGTCTTGATAACGCCATCAAGTTTTTATTTTATTATTTTTGCAAGCAGGATTGCAAAAACATTATTTGCTGTACTCTGCCATTGATAGTCTTACATCTTTATTATTAATATTATTATTTTATCTTATTTTATTAATATTATTATTAATTGTGAGCCCTTTTTATCCATTAAAAAATATCTCCCATTTGGAACAATATTTGATTTTATTATCATTTATGAATTAATTCATTATTCATCAATAATACATTAAGAATATAATTCATGTACAGTAAATGATTATCAGCAATATATTACTTATTATGTGTATAACATTTGTAATTTTTACAGTTTAAATCCAATTATTATTGTCAGTAATTGTAGTAGTAGTAAAAGTAGTATAATTACTGATTGTACTTTTTAAAATATCACACATTGCATATTAATGTACTGTATATTCATATTTGGAGTATATATATCACTGCTATAAATAATATATATTAATTAATTATTTTATTATATTGATTGTATAAATTTTATTGTATACTATATGTGTGAGTATATGTATTTTGTTATACACAGTTGAAGTCAGAATTATTAGCCCCTCTTTTATTTATTTATTTTTTTTTTTGTTTTTTATATGTTTCCCAAATGCTGTTTAACAAAGCTATTAATTTTTCACAGTATGTCTGATAATATTTTTTCTACTGGAGAAAGTCTTATTTATTTTATTTAGGCTAGAATAAAAGCAGTTATTAATTTATATAAAACCATTTTAAGGTCAAAATTAGTAGCCCTTTTGAGGCTATATATTTTTCCAATAGTCTACAGAACAAACCATCGTTATATAAAGACTTGCCTAATTACCCTAACCTGCCTAGTTAACCTAATTAACCTAGTTAAGCCTTTAAATGTCACTTTAAGCTGTATAGAAGTGTCTTGAAAAATATCTAGTTAAATATGATTTACTGTCATTGTGGCAAAGATAAAATAAATCAATTATTAGAAATGAGTTATTAAAACTATTATGATTAGAAATGTGTTGAAAAAAAATTTATCTTCTTTTAAACAGAAATTGAGGGGCTAATAATAATTCAAACGGGGGCTAATAATAATTTTGTCTTCAACTATATATATATATATATATATATATATATATATATATATATATATATATATATATATATATATATATATACATATATATATATATATATATATATATATATATATATATATATATATATATATATATATACACATATATTTAAACATACATTATTATTTGTGTGTGTATAATGTTATATCTACAAAAATATAATATTATAAAATATTTAATTATTAATTATAGTAATTCATACTTTTTCCATAATATTTAAAAAATTGTAAACAGTTCTCATTTATTTAAAAATAATGTACTTTTAACCATTAAGGAAAATTAATAATACCATTAATCATACATTTGCTATCATTTAAATCATCTACTGTGCAAGAGTCTCCCCCTGCTGGTGAAGAGAGGCTGAACTTGATTAGTTAAACATGCACACACTGCATTGGCCTGGATATTTAATTCAAGTTTATTTTATATAGCGTTTTTTTACAAAAATTACCCTTCTAAAGAAGCTTTACAAAAAGTGCACTTTAGTACAATACCATCAGACAGATTTTGAGAGTGTTTTGTAGAAAGATATCAGAGTAATGCTAGTCTAACTGCAGTACTTCCAGATGAGGCATTTGTGCGTGCTGCCCAGTTTCCGCCAATCCAGAGAGTGGATTGAACATAAAACAGTTAAGTCGTTCTTAAAAAAAACTTAGGAATTGTGTTTCTCATTTTAAATAAGTAGTTAGAACAAGCAGCAAAAGTTTAGTTTTTTCGGTGTTTAGATTAGTTTAGAAACTGATAGGAACACCTAACCCCAGAAAGGGCTGAGCTACAGTTATTTTATCTAAAGCGAGCGACTTCAGCTGATTCTGCTGTGTTATTATGTCTTCAGATACTCCAGCGGTCATTCAGAGGGTGAAGGACGGGAACGTCGGCATTCCCACACCATCACCAGCATGACGGATTCAGCCACTCCACCTCAGCTGCCTTCACCAACACACACCACACCGGCCTACATCGGCAAAACACCACCAACCAGTGTGGGTGAGTGAACACAACAGCTCTTCATGGTGATGAGAAGCAGACCTGCCACCACAGTCTTTATTAAAAAGTTCATATATTAACATGTTTTTACAGTTACGATACAATACCAGGGCTGAGCCTGGTCAGTACCTGGATGGGAGACCACTAGGGAACACTAGGTTGCTGTTGGAAGTGGTGTTAGTGAGGCCAGCAGGGGGCGCTCAACCTGTGGTCTGTGTGAGTCCTAATGCCCCAGTAAGAAGTGAAGGGGACACTACATTGCCATTGGGCGCCGTCTTTTGCATGAGACGTTAAACCGAGGTCCTGACTCTCTGTGGTCATTAAAAATCCCATGGCACTTCTCGTGAAAAAGTAGGGGTCTAACCCTGGTGTCCTGGCCAAAGTCCCTCTATCGGCCCTTATGATCATGGCCTCCCAATCATCCCCTTCCACCAAATTGGCTCTATCACTGTCACTCCACTCCACCAATAGCTGGTGTGTGGTGAGCGCACTGGCGCCTTTGTCCTGTGGCTGCCGTCGCATCATCCAAGTGGATGCTGCACACTGGTGGTGGTGTGGAGAGACCCCCCTCATGATTGTTAAGCGCTTTGGGTGTATGGCCATACACAATAAATGCGCTATAAAAATACACATTTCATTTACAATACGATACAATACTGAAATTATCTGGGCTATGCCCATGGGTGAACTAATCTATTTTGTCTCCTATACAGAACCTATAGGATGTTGCACATGCATGAATCAGTGCCTGAGATTACTCTTTGTTCCAGAGTCATTTTAAAGTTCACAAGCTGTGACCGTTTTTTTTATTTTATTTTTTTTATAATCCGTATTGTGATGCAGTTCCTATAGACAGGGCTGGACTGGGACAAAAAAATCGTCCCTGGCAATTTGGGTCAGAGCGTCCCCCTACATCAATCAAAATGCTCCCCATCTGTGCATGCCCTTGAATATGTTTACCAACTCCCATTCTATAAAAGCACAAAAGCCATAAATAGGATATAACAAGAGTTGACAAAATAAAAGCGTAAAACAATTAATTTATTATTAAAATAAAATTATAATCCACTCTGGAAGTCCATCTTGTGTGTGCCGGTGTGTTTTGAGAGAGAATATATTAAATAATGGACTTAACAAAAACTGCCTGCTGATGCACAGTTATTGTTGACTAATAAAATCAAGATAAATAATAAAAGTGATGTATTAGAGACCTTTAAATAAATGTTTAACTCAACAATGAAACATCAAACGTTGCTAAAAGATTTTACATTGTCAATCAAATGAACTTAAACAATTGAAAAATGCAACAAATAATTATTTGGGCTCGAACTACAAAACTAAATGTAAAAAAAGTTGCTTAGTTGCACACTAGTTTGCTCATGTATAAATATCATCATCAGCATTATAGGGGTGAGGCAGTGGCGCAGTAGGTAGTGCTGTTGCCTCACAGCAAGAAGGTCGCTGGTTCGAACCTCGGCTCAGTTGGCATTTCTGTGTGGAGTTTGCATGTTCTCCCTGGCTTCGTATGGGTTACCTCCGGGTGCTCCGGTTTCCCCCACAGTCCAAAGACATGGATGGTGCAGGTGAATTGGGTAGACTAAATTGTCCATAGTGTATGAGTGTGTGTGTGTGTGGATGTTTCCCAGAGATGGGTTGCGGCTGGAAGGGCACCCGCTGCGTAAAAACTTGCTGGATAAGTTGGCGGTTCATTCCGCTGTGGCGACCCCGAATTAATAAAGGGACTAAGCCGACAAGAAAATGAATGAAATATCATTATAACCATATTGTATAAATGCTATTGTCACTATAAACCTACGTCATGCTGACAATCAAAAACACTATGTCATGATATCTCATGCGACCGAGTGCATCTTAAAATACATGAATGGCACCCCTCATAGAGCTTGAGAAGCAGACATTCTTTATCATTTGTAAAATAAAGACTTGCAGGTTAAGGAAACAGCATAGGAGGAAGTTGCCGCGGGCCGCCGTGCAGATTAAAAGTAAAAAAAGGTGCATTTATGAAGACAGATAGATAACTAGATAGAATAGACAGGAATATATTGATCTGTGCCCCGCTGCACAATGCAGACGCAAAAGGCAAATGCCTGCTCGCTGCTTCAGCTCTCCCGCGTGTGAGAAACAGGTGTGACTCTCAACTATTTTGACAAATACACACCTACATTGCAAGAAACATCTTACTTTCAGAGCGTCACAGATCACAATATTGTCAATTAATTAGGTAGAAAAACACGATAGTCTGCCAGTCTATGGGCCGATCAGATCATAAGAAGATGATCAGCCCGGCCCAAAAAGTACGTCGACCCAGCGGGAAACTGCCTGGTCTGCCAGATAACCATTCCTTCCCTGCCTATAGTAACGGATTATTGAATGAGAAAACAGTGGACGTGGCTTCCCACATAGCAAAATTTCTCTGGCCCAGCTCTGGCCCACACAATCAGGTTTTGCTTGGCCCACATGCCGCAGTGAATTACGGTGCATGACTGGACCAAATCTGGCTTCCAGACAAGGGCCAAACACGGACCATATCTGGGCCAAGTCTCAGCCAAGTTAATAACTCATAACTGGGCCTGAACTGGGCCAGATAGGTTGGTGTGTCACGATTGCAATGAAATTGATAAACCCATGAAGTGATGCGCTTTAGGCACACTATGGGCACGCTTTTTCTCAAAGTGACCTGATTGGTAGAATTTTTTTTCTTTACTCAAAAATGATTTTAGTGTATTTTAAATGTGGGTCAAGACTGGCCAAACTCACATGGCCCACTTATCAAATTTTTAAATCTGGGCCAAATACTACGTTTTTCATCTGGCCCAAATCTTGTGTGCCGCCTTAAAGACGGTGCCACCTCTGCCAAACCCGGGCCATGTTTGGCCCACATGCTGTATGCCAGTGCCGGATGAATGCCTGCTGTGCCAGCTTTATGCCAAATCTGGGCCAGAATTCTTTGCTACTAGGGTTGTTTTTCTACTGCGAGCCGATAGGATGTTGTAAAGTAGGCGATTCATTTATAAAGATCGAGAAAAGGGTTTCAAAATAGTTATTACAACCTTACAGAATCCTCCTGCTCAACATTTGTGTTAGTTGTTAAAACGGACAGTGTGAGGGGCGTGGTTTGGTATGTTAGCCACGCCCAATAGTTCATACAGACCTAATCTGAGAATTTAACTGAAAACAAACAGGAAGTGCATTTTTGTAAAGATTACTAAAGCATTTTCTTAATGACTTGCACAGATAAATCGTTCACCACAAAAACTAGCAATGTGTGCCAACAAAATCAATATGATTAGATCTGATTTCATTTGTACTCTAAAGATTCATCCAATATGAGTGAATCTTTCATCAGTGCTCCATCATTAGTCACATTATCCATCCGTTCCACAGTGACTCCGATCCCGAACTCCGGCTCTGGTTCTGGGATCACACGCTCCAGCAGCATCCCTGCATCTGATCTGGGCTACGATCTGTATGGGACATCCCCTCTGGGCAGCTCTCTGTCTCTGGCTGACCGACCCAAGAGCATGATGAGGTCTGGGTCATTCAGAGAACCTGCTGAAGACGGTGAGACACATGCACTCAGACATAGACAAAAATATATGTGCTATCTGTTGTTTTTTAAGTTTAATGAGCCATAATAACCTATTCATTTATTCATTTATTGCCATTTAGTGTTACACGAATTTTAATTGCTGAAGTTTGATTAATAGCTCAAGAACAGAATAATTTTATGTATTATTATATTTAATAAATGTATTTGTTTACTTTAGTTATTATTTTCTAGTATGTTAAGTATTTTTGTGCTGTAGTAATTATTTTTTAACATGGATATTTTGTATAATTTTTAATAAAGTTAACTTTTAAGTCTATTTTTTGTGTAATAATATATTTAATTTATTTGAGCTCTATTTAAAATGTTTTTAATAGTTTTGGTCAACAATAATAATTCTGATAGCTACTTGAGCAATTTAATTTTTTTTTTTATCTTTTTAAAATTTATTTCAATGAAAAATATCTTGAATTCATTTTTAAAGATTAGTTAAATATGAAAAGTGTGTGCTATCTGGTGCTTTTAGGAGTTTAATGAGCTGTAATTACCTAGTTTTCAGCCTTTTAGTGATACAGGGATTTTATTCGTTGTAGTTTGATCTCATTTTTAGTAATTGCTCAATAACAGAGTTATTTATATATCAACATCATATTTAATAAAGTTATTTGTTTACTTTTGTTTTTTTTTTCTTGTATTTCAAGTATTTTTGTTCTTTAGTAATTGTTTTTTTTAACATGGCTATTTGTTTATTTTAATTTTTAAAAACATTTTAAAGTTAACCTTTAAGCTTATTTTTGTGTTGAATACAGTACATTTAATTTATTTGAGCTCTATTTAAAATGTTTAAGTGTTTTTAATAGTTTTGGTCAGCAGTAATAATTCTGACAGCTACTTAAGCTATTTAAATGCTATGTTTTTAAAATTTACCTCATTTAAAAATATATATCATAAGTTAACTTTTAAAGATTAGTTAAATATGAAGAATATGTGTTATCTGCTGCTTTTAAGAGTTTAATGAGCTGTAATAACCTAGTTTTCTGCCATTGGTGATACGAGAATGTTAATTGTTGTAGTTTGGTCTCATTTTTTAATGATAGCTCAACAGCTATTTTATCTTTTTTTGTGTTTAAGTTACATATATTTTAGCTCTGTTTCAAGTTTTATAGTTTTAATAGTTTTGGTAAACAATATTAGTTCTAAAAGCTACTTTACTTATTTTTTATACATTTATTTCATTTAAAAATATCTTGAATTTTTATGTGTTTTCTCGTGCTTTTAAGAGTTTAATGAGCTATAATAACATTTAATGATAAAATAATTTAAATTGTTGTAGTCTGATCTCATTTTATTTATGTTATTTATTTTATAAATAAAATAATATCCTTTAATAAAAATGTTAGTTTACTACTTTTTCTGTTTTCATTTTAATTGTAGTGCTTTAGTGTGTACATATAGTTTTAAATATTACTGTTTTGTAATTTGATCATTTTAAATAACAATAACAATTTTACAATAAGTGTAACAATTGAAGTTGACAATTTAAGTGTTTATTATTAATTTATTTTATCTCTATTTAAATTTTACTTGAATGTTTTTAATAGTTTCAGACAGTTACTTACATTTTAATGTATTATGTAAAAAAACATTTTAAAATGTATTGAATTAATCTTTATGATTTATTAACTATTTAAACAAATCCATATTGTTAAAGTTGATGAAAATGCTCTCTTGACTTAAATTAAATATTGAATAAAAATGAACAATTTATTCATAATATTTTCAAATATGTCTGCTTAATTATTAAGTGATGCATCATTGACCTCCATTTTGTCAATTTGTTTGTAACCTGTATTTTCCTCTCCTCAGTTCATGGATCTGTGCTGTCTCTGGCCTCAAATGCCTCGTCAAACTATTCGGTGAGTAGAAATGGGATGATAAAACAGGGTTGATTTATGTTTGTCCACATGATGTGATATGTAAAAACCTTGCATTGCTTGCAGGGGTTTAGTGCAAAAAAAGAAAAACTAAAATGTCACATCTCATAGTTAATCACTCTTGAACTTGATAATGTACATAAAAATTTCAATTCAGCTCATGTCCATGTTTAAACGTATAGAAGTGAATAAAACCCTAACATGAATGGCCCTTTAATTCCAGCACTTCTCTCCAAAACGCATGCTTTTTTCTCCTCTATCTCCTGTCTTTGCTTATCTTGCTTGCTCTTTATCTCCATTTCTCTGTCATGCATTTTCAGAACGAAGAGAGAATGCAAGGAGAGGTAAGACTTTCCTTAAACTCTGTTGTCAGTTTGACCATTTTCCTTTTACTTCTCTTTTTTTTTGCCATCTCTCAATAATAAAAGCATTCACATTCACTTTTGATTGTCTGATTTACATTTGTGAGCTCATTTTGTTTAAGAACTCCCATATAAAGTCTTCACACTTCTACTTTCTTCGATCTGGGCTGAGTTCAACTTTGTAGATAAAACCTTTTTTTGTTTTTTAAATAAAAAGTCTTAAAATGTAAAACAACTTAAAAAAAATATCACATAATGTAAATAAGATGTCATTTAATAAGAATATGTCAATAACTCTATTTTGACAAAAATGTCAGATAGATTTTTATAATTCTAAGGTGACGATTTGTGATTTGATAAAAGCAGTAAAGGTGGGCTCTGTGTTGAAAAAGGGGCATTGAAAGCTCTGACCAATCAGAATGAAACATCAAACAGTTTGATTGGCTGTAAATAACAGCGCGTTCTACACTCATGAGGTGAGGCTAGTTGGCTTTAGCCTGTTACAGCTACAGATACATACGCAAGTCATATATTCTTTACTTCCAAGAGCAATGTATGAATATTTTGTGCCTTTAAACAAGCCTGTTACAGGCTCCAATAACAATGATGAGAACGTGGCCCAGGAGCATCGCTAGATCCCATTTTAGGGGCACATGCCCCAGCCAAAAAGTTCAGTGCACCAGTAAAATGTTTGAAATTTACAGTATATGCCAGTGTATTCATTATCCCAGAATAAACCGCTCACCTGTGTAAAGCACACTCAGAATTGCACAATGTTTTCCCAGAAACATGAAATGTTAATAAAAAAAGTGTCTGGTGCACATGGAGAGATCTGTCAAACCCACTCACCTGCATGTATTCATATTTGTCAAACAGCTCTAGAGTTCATTTTGGGTTTTAGTGGTTTTGATCTGATTGCTTGGTGCATAGCAATGTTTAGATGGAGAAATTAAACGTGCAGTGGGTGATCTGCCAAAATGCTAACCGCTTAGCATATTATCTTTGGCTGGCGGGGAGGGACTGTGATTCAAAGCCACACCTCCTGAATTCGTGAACGTGCGCACCGCGATTAGCCAGTTAGAAATGTAGTAAGTGTTTGGCCGGCGGGCTGCAGGAGTTTCACTTATTACTAAGCCACACTTACATGCTATTTTAAAGAGAATATTCAGAGTAGCATGGTGAACAGTAAAGAAAGGCTGTCATAGTTCAATTATGAACCAATGTGAATATAAAAGCGACTTCAGTTCAGTAAAGCAGGCTAGGGGAATAGCGCAATTTACTAATGTTTTGCTGTTAAACGTAATAAAAGTCTACATTATAGATGCTGTCAAAGGTTCCTTATGAAACTGAAAATAGTTACATCAATCTTTCGCTGGGAGATTTCAGTGGCTGAACGACACTTCTGTGTATATGTAACCCCACCGGTCCTACACCGCCTAACCACTCCGAGCTGGGATTGAACTCCCTTCCGCATGGGAGTCGGTTGCTCTAACAAGGAGGCTAAAGACCATGGGCTCTAGCGTTTGTCGCCAGAGCACCTTTAGAGGTCAGAGGAGTGAGGTTTACCTGCACAGCACACACTAGCTGGCCTCCGTTACACTCACCCCCTTAAACCTCACTTCCATCCGGGTCACGGCACCAATGCAACCCCACCGGTCCTACACCGCCCAACCCACTTCGAGCTGGGATCGAACCGGCGACCTTCTTCCGCATGGGAGTCGGTTGCTCTAACAAGGAGGCCAAAGACCATGGCCTTTAGCGTCTGTCGCCAGAGCACCTTTAGAGGTCAGAGGAGTGAGGTTTACCTGCACAGTACACACTAGCTGGCCTCTGTTACATATATAACCCATTCATAACACATCACACTCTACATCAGCTTTCAGGGAGTAAAATAGTTTTAAAATAGAACATCAGAAACACTTCAGCCATGGTGTCATCCTTCCTCCAGCGTGCAAAAGTAACTCCGATATTCATTCAGAATTATAAAAAAATTTAATGCAGCATTTGATTTACTTCGTGTTACGTCTGTCTCGTGTGCACGTGTCGTAAATGCCTGGTGCTCATGCAGGCGGGCACGCTCTAATGGCGGATATGTGTGAACAGAGATGCGCAGAAGCCCAAATCTACATTTGTTGACAGACAGTTTGAGCTACTTATCGGAATTATGAGAGATGCCGGCCCGACAATATTTAATTAGATAAACATTTTTTAGTTTTATGCCTTACTCGGATTATAAAAATACATTTAAACACATTTAGATTCTTTACTTTCATCATTACTATTGGACTGTGACGAGACTTTTAACCAGCACAACAAAAAATATTTCTAAAGACAATCACCTACTGTACCTTTAACATTTACTCACATAAACTGCATCAATTACACCAGAATTTGTTTCAGTTGACACAAACATACCAAGTGTGAACACATCTTAAATGGCATGTAAACAACAGACCCTGGTTCTTTTTTCATTCATCATTCATTTATGCTTAAACCCTCTTTGAAAATCCTTCATTGATGTATTTGGATGTTTAATGTTTGCTGTTTATTCTTCCTCCTCAGCAAATCCGGATACTGAGACGTGAGCTTGAGTCCTCTCAGGATAAAGTAGCCAATCTGACCACCCAACTTGCAGCAAATGTACGTACACAAAACACATGCATCGTAATTTACACAACACAAATAGGTTTTGTTTTAACAGCATGCATTTCAAATGGAAACATGTTTACGAGGAGGGCTGTTTTCAAGCACTGCTTCATCAAAGCTTTGCGGGAAAAATAAGATCAGGGTTATACAGTATTTGTATTATTTTAATAGTATGCATTTCATAATTGCATAATATAAATGTATTAAATAATTGTTTTCGGTCATAAGCATTTATTATTTTATGTTATTCAGTACATTTGTATGTGCATGTAAGCAGTAGTTCTTGTTATGAACTGAATGAATCTGTGCACTTCATTATTTTAAATACCATAACCTTTCCTCCCCCTTTGAAATGACTTTCTTCACTTCCTGGTCACATGGAATACCTTTAGCGCGGAGCTATCAGTAATTTGAGACAGGGCTATCAATGATTTAGGGCAGGGCTGTCAGTGTTTTAGGGCAGGGCTATCAATCATTTAGGGCAAGGTTATCAGTGCTTTAGTGCAGGGCCATCAATGATTTAGGGCAGGGCTGTCAGTGTTTTAGAACGGAACTATCAGTGCTTTAGGGTGGGGCTATCAGTGCTTTTGGGTGGGGCTATCAGTATTTTAGGGCAGGGCTATCAGTGCTTTAGGGCGGGGCTATCAGTTATTTTGGGGCTGGGCTCTCAGTCATTTTCGGGCAGGGCTATCAGTGCTTTAGGGCGGGGCTATCAGGTCTTTAGAACAGGGCTATCAGTGCTTAAGGGCGGGGCCATTAGTACTTTAGAGTGGGGATATCAGTACATTGAGGCGTGACTATCAGTGCTTTAGGGCAGAGCTATTAGTGCTTTAGGGCGGAGCTGTCACTGCTTTAGAGCGGGGCCATTAGTACTTTAGGGTGGGGCTATCAGTACATTGAGGCGTGGCTGTCAGTGCTTTAGGCCAGGGCTATCAGTTCTTTAAGGCGAGGCTATCAGTACTTTGGGCTGGGGCTATTAGTGCTTTGGGGCAAGGTTATTAGTGCTTTAGGGCGGGGCTATTAGTTCTTTGGGACGGAGCTATTAGCAAGTCTTGTTTCTTTGCTGCTTTCGCCCAATCGTCAAACTTCTTTTATTTTGCAGTCTTTCAACAACCCAATCAGTTTCCAAAAAACTAAATCAAGCACATTTTCCCCACATTTCAGGATTGTTTCAAGTGAATGTTGATCACTATAGAGAAAAAAATCACAATTTGATTTTGTTTCAAGACTACTTTAAAGTTTGTATAGTATATTCAGAATTTAGAGAACCTTGTTATTAGCACCACTGATGGACATTTAGTGAACTACAGCCAGAAACTCATTGTTTATGGTTACACTATGCGCACACACACATAACATACAAGAGAATGAACCAGAATTAGTAATTCTTTGCTTAGAAATAAAACGTTAGAAATACGTTAGTAGCGAACATACGGATAACATCTAGACTGCGTCCACACTGCTGAAAGTGACAATTTGATGAATATTTAAATGTGTCAGTAACAAAATAAACACACAACAAAAAGTTCAGAAAGCATTTTCCCTATCATGAGATGAGCTCATTAAGCTCAGATGACTATATAGATGAGGTTATGTTAGATTATGGCTTGAAGTGTCAAATCCTGTTCTTTTCACCACACATTGAGACTGCAGTATCCTGAATACCTTTAATTGTATAAAATACAACTCACATTTACAGAATTGTAATTATAGCTTTAGAAGTGTACGATTCATAGTTTAATGTCCACCTTTCTCTTTCATGTTGTTTGTTTATTAGACACATTGTCTTGTCAGTGACATCACCAGCATTTCTGCATTCTGCCATTTTCCCAGTAATGATTGCTTGATTTCATACGATTATTAGGTGAATAATGAGTGTTGCCATGCAATGTAGTTCATTATAATCACAATATTTCTAATGTGTACTAAAACTGACCTCTGCAAGTTCCCACTAACCCACCTGCCTACAACTAACCCTAATAATACAACTGTCTTCAACAGTACACACACACTGGAGACAGTCATATTCAGACAGGATTCGTTTTCCCAGAGTTTGTTTCATTAAATTTTCAAAGTGCGTCTATAAAGAATGAATTAACCCAGGGGTCACCAATCTCGGTCCTGGAGGGCCGGTGTTCCTGCAGGGTTTAGCTCCAAACTGCCTCAACACACCTGCCTGAGTGTTTCAAGTATACCTAGTAAGACCTTGATTAGCTTGTTCAGGTGTGTTTGATTAGGGTTGGAGCTAAAATCTGCAGGACACCAGATCTCCAGGAACAAGTTTGGTGATCCCTGATTTAACCCACCTCAGGGGAAACTAGTCTTGTAGGTCTCAGTGTGAAAACATAAAACTGACCACCAGAGGGAACTAAAGAGGGTTAGTTCACCCCAAAATGAAAAAATATCTCATTATTTACTTACAATCAAGGCAGCCTAGGTGTAAATGACTTTATTATTTTGGTCAAATCCAGAAGTTACTGTATGTTGAAAATGTTTATTAGCAGTCTAAACGAAAATCCAATTAACCGCATTCAATTATAATAAAAGATGGGGGTAAATAAAAGACTCCTGTAAAGCATATCCTGCATTTTTGTAAGAAAAATATATACATTTAATAACTAAAATATGGGGGGCGACATGGTAGCTCAGTGGTTAGCATTGTCGCCTCACAACAAGAAGGTCGCTGGTTCGAGTCCCGGCTGGGTCAGTTGGCATTTCTGTGCAAAGTTTGCATTTTCTCCTCATGTTGGCGTGGGTTTCCTCCGGGTGCTCCGGTTTCTCCCACAGTCCAAACACATGCACTATAGGTGAATTCAATTAACTATGTTGGCCATAGTGCATGTGTGTAAATGAGTGTGAATAGATGTTTCTCAGTACTGGGTTGCAGGTGGAAGGGCATCTGTTGTGTAAAACATATGTTGGATAAGTTGTCGGTTCATTCCGCTGTGGCAACACCTAATAAATAAAGGGATTAAGTCAATCTTAAAATATATATTTTTTATATGAAATAGCACTCTAATAAATGCTGGGATATTTAAACCCAAACTTGAGTAAAATACGGTTCTCACGATACCATCAGTTCAGGCCATGACACTATACCAGGTGAAGTTTCACAATACCAAATAGTATCGCAATTCTGTATTCATTCAAAACTCAAATCCACGAAATAATGCAAATTGTCATAAATTCATAATTTATATGTCTTAATACTTAAATTCTATTGAGAATTCTGTTATCATTGAAAACGTATTATTTGTACAGACTTTCTTTGGGGGGTGGATACACTGTCACTCTTTTGTGTTGTTACTGCTATAATAATAAATATAAAATAAATAAATCATTGATCACGCCACATGATCTGTCATGAGAGTAGCAAACTACAACCCGTATGCATAGTTAAAATACAAGTAAAATAAAGTGGTCTTTTGATTATTTTCGGGCACAAATGTAATGACGGTACTACTGTTTACAAACTAAGAGTAAAATATGGACTCAAAATTTGGGTTAAATTTGGTCTTATTAATTTAATTTAAAAAATTAACTTAGCAATTTGGGGCGAAGCAGTGGCACAGTAGTGCTGTCGCCTCACAGCAAGAAGGTCGCTGGTTCGAGCCTCGCTCAGTTGGCGTTTCAGTGTGGCGTTTGCATGTTCTCCCTGCGTTTGCGTGGGTTTCCTCCAGGTGCTCCGGTTTCCCCCACAGTCCAAAGACATGCGGTACAGGTGAATTGGGTAGGCTAAATTGTCCGTAGTGTGTGTGTGTGTGTGTGTGTGTGTGTGTGTGTGTGTGTGTGTGAATGTTTCCCAGAGATGGGTTGCGGCTGGAAGGGCATCCGCTGCGTAAAAACTAGCTGGATAAGTTGGCGGTTCATTCCGCTGTGGAGACCCCGCATTAATAAAGGGACTAAGCCGACAAGAAAATGAATGAACTTAGCAATTGGATTAAAATGACCTGGCATTTTTTAGAGTGTAACTTATAAAATATGCACTTAAAAATGATGTTTGCAGTTTGTTCAAGCTACTAATATAAATTGAGCTGAAACAACACAAGGAAACCTTGAGGTTTTTCTGGGACAACTTAAGTGTTTTATGTTCAGTCCATTTAAAGTTTGTAAAAACTAATAAGTTTACTTAATTTCTTCATCTTGTCCCAACACAAACCGATTATCTATATATTTTTTTACAGTGTACATGACATTTTGCATAACTTCCTGGAGCGGACTTCTTTTGAGATGTATTTTTGGTTCATTAGTGCCATCAGCTAGACAGAGAAACAGGCACTTTTTATTATGGATGAATCTGCTGTATTGTACTCTTTTTAACTGCTGATAAAAACAGCCATTGTAAAAGCCTAATTAAATTTCACAACATAGACTGTAACAATAACAACATAGACTGGATTTGACTGAAGGAAGAAATGCATGCACAGTGCTTAGCATATATGAGTACACCCCCTACAAATCTCTCATTTAAATTAATCGTTTCTATAGGATGCTTTACAGTATTATATTTGTGTATATAGAAAAGATTTATCTCTACTGGAGCCAAATCTGGAGCTTATCTAACAAAACTTACAATAATGGTTAAAAAATGAGTAGCCCAAATTCATATGTTAGAGATAATTATTAAATAAAATTATCCAAAACAGCAAAAATCAAGAGAAACAAAAAGTAAATACAATTTTGTTGTAATGTTGTCTTTTGTATATATATATATACAGTTGAAGTCAGAATTATTAGCCCCCCTGAATTATTAGCGCCCCTGTTTATTTTTTTCCCCAATTTCTGTTTAATGGAGGGAAGATTGTTTCAACACATTTCTAAGCATAATAGTTTTAAAAACTTTTTTCTAATAACTGATTTTTTTTATCTTTGACATGATGACAGTAAATAATATTTTACTTGATATTTTTCAAGACACTTCTATACAGCTTAAAGTGACATTTAAAGGCTTAACTAGGTTAATCAGGTGAACTAGGCAGGTTAGGGTTATTAGGCAAGTTATTGTATAACGATGGTTTGTTCTGTAGATTATCGAGAAAAAAAATAGCTTAAAGGGGCTAATAATTTTGTCCCAAAAATGTTTTTTTAAAAATAACTGCTTTTATTCTAGCCGAAATAAAACAAATAAGACTTTCTCCAGAAGAAAACATATTATCAGACATACTGTGAAATTTTCCTTGCTCTGTTAAAAATCATTTGGGAAATATTTAGAGAAGAAAAAAAAAATCAAAAGGGGGCTAATAATTCTGACTTCAACTGTGTGTGTGTATATATATATATATATATATATATTTTTTTTTTTTTGCAATATTTTGGTTGAATTTAAACATTATCTTTCCATTTCTAAATATATTTTGTGACTAAAATATTATTTTAATAAATCTGTTTTGTTGAAATGCAGCAATATATATTACCCATATTCGCTGAGAAATGGACAAAAATATTCAAAATGGAGTGTACTCAATCATGCTGAGCACTGTACAGTACACCTTGGATGATTTGAAATCATGGGATCTTTTTTGTATGACTCACATTTTTTGGTGAACTAACCCTTTAAAAGTATAGTTCACCCAAAAATGATCATTTACACACCCTTGACTGTTTTTTTTTTCTGTTAAAAACAAGAGAAGAAATTTTAAAGAATGTTTAAAACATGCAACCATTAACTTCCTTGGTATTTATATTTCCTACAATGAACTAGGCATGGGCCAGTAAAAGATTCTGACGGTATTATAACCTTGGATAAAAATATCAAGTTTTCATGGTAATGTGATCGCTGCTCTAAAATATATTCTTTTTAAATGTCTGGGTAAAAAACTAAAAGAAAATTCCCCTTTGAACACTATATATTCTATTTTTTGAAAGATTTAAAATATTTTGGAACAGTAAACATGTCAAGTAAATAATTCAAGTGAATCATTGACTTCTGCTGTCTTCTATAGTTTCAAAATCACAGATTTCTTCACAATTTAAAGCAGCATCTTTGGGTATCTTTTCTACTGGAGGTATTGTTGTCCAAAAAAACAAAAAAAATTGTAAATAAAAAAATCTTACACATACCTTAGGAACGGTATTACAGAAAATGTTGGAGTTTTTTTTTTTATTATTATTATTTGTTTATTAAACTTTTACACATATAACAAAGTATTTTTTACAGAGAAATTTAAACAAATATTAGTCCCACCTCTACCCTCTACACAAGTTGAAATTACATTTATCTAACGGAGAAAAAAAAAGAAAAAAAATACTAATGATAATAACAAAATAATATTAAAAATGAAATAGATAAATAAAAACAATTAAGTAAATAAAATGAATAAAATATAAAAATATATATATAATAAATAAAATAAAAAATAAATACAATAAAATTGAAAAACAAAACATCCTCTCAGAATACGCATACTTTGATAACCCAATATTATCAAAAATGAGTCCTCAGGTATTTATAAAGTACCTAATTATTATGTTATTGCGCTTAGATTTAGATTGAAAGTTAGTAGAGATACTGACATGCTCAGAAAAGAAAATTCTAAATTCTAACCCTATAATTGCCATTTAAAACCTTGACTTTCCAAACCATGGTATACCTTTAAAATGGTTATCATCCCATGCCTACAACGGACGTCTATGCTTTACAGCATTTTTAAAAATATCTTCTCATATGGGGGGTGAACTAATCCTTTAATGTCTGATGCTTGTCCCAGTGCATTTATGAATGTGAGTGTGTGAAATGGAGGCTTTAGTCCTAACAGCACTGTCCCTCTCTCCCTGGCTGATCTCCTGTCCCGGCCTCTGATGACTCTGGCTGCTCCTCCTTGGGTTTCTGGCTGTTGCAGGCAGGCCAGGTTTGTTGGACTGTCACTCGCAGCCCCGTCTGCCGTTCTTGCATGTGTCCCTGCCCTTAGTGTGGCTGACTGATGATGTGGAGTGCATATGTTTGTTCTTTCATCAAAAGTCATAGTGTTGATGCTGAAAGAAGGAATCACTGGCATAGTAATGAGTGTGCATGGATTGAGGATAAAAAGTTGCACTTGCTTATTTGAACCCATAGTGTTCTGTCTAGTGTGTTACTTGGTGCGTCATGATTTTGCCAAGTACGATGCAATCCAGTATTAACATCTATGTTGATCCTGGAACATCATTTTTGTTTGAAAATGTAATCCAATGTGGATATGTGGCAACCATTGAAAACCCCTGAAGCCACCTAAAACTTCCTACCACCTAACCACCCTATGGGATTTCCCTTGCACTCATAAAAATGTTGGGTTTTTGTAACCCCAAATTGGTTCAAATATGGATAAACGCAACCGTTGGGTTAAAAAGTGGGTTAAATTTAAGTTAAAAAAATTACCCATCTTCAGGTTGGTCTATATTTGACACAATGCTGGTTTATAACAACTTAGCATTTTAGTCTAACAACCACGCGGAATGCTTTGGCAACTTCATACCAATTTGCTTAAACTAGTCAATCAACTGCATAACAACACCCTAGCAGCGACAGAAAAATCCCAAATTACTGATCATGTTTATCTGGAGCTCTTTCATTTTAAATAATCAGTTAAAACTGTGAGTAATATGTTTTATTGTTATTTTTTTTTATTATTATTATTTTTTTATTTTTTTTTTTAATTTACAAATGATAGTATAAATAGGATACCTTAGGAAAAAGCTGCAAATGAATTAGGAAACAGTTTAGCCTATTCAAATGAATAGCTTTTACAAAGAAATTGAATTATCAAATGTCATTAAGCTTTTCTTTACTGTAGAGCTGCACAATTAATCGTAAAAAGATCGCGATCTCGATTCGACCCCCTAGACGATCTTAATCTAGCATTTCTACGATTCTGTCAATCATATTTTCAAGTTCAGGAGAGAAGCAATGGTGGCTGCACAAGTATTCACATTGTTTTACATACGTTGTTCAGCAACGTGGACACCTCCAAATGGTGTTGAAAGAGTCACCAGCTGTATTTATAAGATATAATTCACCCCAACAATGTCATTTCTGTCTTCATGTAATGTATTTGCGACCGCAAAATCACACGTGACGTGAGCTGACCGTCAGCTGTTACCACAGAGAGGGCGGGCGCATGCGGGCCTCTGAATGAGGTCTACTTTAGTGAACAGAACCTGCATATGCTGTGAATAATAAATAATAAAGTTGTAAATAACATTTAGTTTGTGGCACAGAGTGATCGTTCGGAAGCTGCGCTGGAAGTGAACCGCTCTTAGCAGTGAAAATGAAACCAAAAGTGCACAGTGTTGCCAGATGTCTTCTCTACTCATAAAATGTTAGTGACAGATTTTCAGCAGAAAATGACAGATTGTAAGCATATTTCTCAAAACAAAATAATTTAACATCAGAATTATCATCAGCATTAATGACCAGGACAAATCTAAAGTCTGTTCCAGTCCACCATTCCAAATCTATACAAAATTTAGCATTTTAACCAACCGTACAGCTACACCAAGCCTATTGCCTTACGTTTGAGAATATCAATAATAATAGCCCATGCACTCATAACCTTTATTTTACATCTACATAATTGTGAGAAAATCTTGATCTTTATTTTAGGCAAAAAAAAAAAATTGTGATTCTCATTTTAGCCAGAATCTTGCAGCTCTTCTTTACTGTATAACTTAAACATTCTGATTAAAGAGCAGTGAATGAATCTCTCATTTAGATTTTTCATTTGATTGCATTAAATAACAGAGCTGTCACTTTAAAAATGCACACATTTATAATGCAAGCATTCGATTGCTTTCCTAACGGTTTATGCTCATTAAAGACAAAACTTGTTGTGTTTAAAAGAAAAAAGATCCAGATCGAAATGCTTAGATGTTGGTATTATTATTGTTATTATTATTATATATACAATTATTATTATTATGTGTATATGTCTATTCAAACACGTACCCAAAACCCAGAGTTTCCACTTTCGCTCCACTTTAAATCGTGTGTACAGAATCCGTTTGGGAAACAGCATCTATTTATTAATATGGTCTGAGACACGCACCGCTACATGAACTGACTGTTTTGAGGAGTGCATAGGAGGGACAACGGCGCCTGTAATGAAAAGGAAGGGCATAGATATTTACATTAGATGTCACCCACCCTGTTGTTGTCTATTGGAAGGAATGCGTCAACAGAGCTGCCATTTCAGTTTAGCGCTCCTTTGAAATGAATGCAGGAGAAATGTGCAGTTGAGGACTGGCCATCCACATATATACATATATCTATGACCGGGAATTTTCCTGGTGATCAGTATTCAAATATTTATTTTAAATTACGAAAATGATAATTTTACATCACTTTTCTACATCGATGGATAAGTGACCGCACAGGCATTCCTGATAAAGAGCGTGTGTTTGTGTGCATGCAAATGCATTATCCTCCCTTCCTCTTGAATTTGATCTAATCCTTGTCCTGAAACACACCCCCTCTCCTGCTTTCACTTCTCATTCTAACGGAGGGAGCAATTGGTTTGTGAATGAATCCCATTATGAACGACTCATTCACTTACAGTAGATGACAATAACACAAGTTTCTAGCACCACAGCGTCTTGTTGTCATATTTCTTTTTCATATTTCTTTTCGAGCTGGTGCTACTTTGCCTTCTGGTAAATGCAGTAAGTAGCCTAACATTATTATCCTCAACTACTTGTTAAGCACAAAGGTTCGTAACATACAAAAACGTAATAAAACTAAATCTTACCTATTAAATATTCTACCTTTGTGCTTTGTTTTCTTTGTTTGCTCATTACTACACCCATACACAGCGCCAGAGTCCAGCATCTTCACATTGGCTTTAGTCATGACTAGTTCGGTTGAATGACATTCGTGCTGAGAGCACTGTACAAATGTGGCGGCACTATTGACGCATGCTCAGGGTCCGTATGTGATATCTAGTGTATATATCTATGATGGAAGGGAATGCTGCCATTTTTTTATATTTATTTCAACGTATTTTCATGCCTAAATAAAATGAAAGCACTGAACAGATTCAGATTTAAGAGCAAGGGGCCGTCCCCTGGTGGGTTGGCTATATGGGTTGCATATATAGTGAGGAATGACTCCCTATACATTTATTGCTACCCTTCATAGAAAGATTAAAAACATGGGAGAGGGGAAAATACCTAACCCAGGCTCATTCTGAAAATGTAGTGCCATGGACGTTTCTGGAGACTGCGAAATATGTCCCGGGAGGTACGTATTTTTGCAGTTTTTGTTTTCGCGAATCCGCGAGAGGCCGCTGTGTGCGCTTTTTCGTATCTCGAATGTCTCTCGCGAGTGCCGTTCGCGCCCGCGCTGTTCTCGCGTGAACCCACCAGAGGCCGCTGTCTGACTGACTAAATGTGTGCCTGTGCGACCGGCCAATCGGCTGACCCACCCTCCTCCTTTCCTAAACCCAACCAATTTTACCGATTGACCCGCCTGCCCACTCACTTCCCTAAACCCGAGCAACAATTTAGAAAAGCCGTGTAGAAAAAGAAATGCCCTCGTCTGATTTTTTTTATCACATTTTCGGATTTCACCACGTTCTCATCCTGTTATGAACTCGTTCACTTTATTTTTTGGATTTTGTTTTTGTCTTACCTGATTTCTGGAACCGCTCTTCCGCGGACTCGAACCTGCTCGCCATGTTCAACCCCTCCTCTCTGCAACTGAAGTCTGCCGACGCACACGATGAGCTGACTGGAAAAACTGGTTGCGGCGGAAAAGCCCTCCACACGGAGGCAAGCGGTCAGCCGGCAAGCGCGAAAGGGAACAGCGTCATACCGCCCCGTAGCGTTCGCTGAAAAAAAATGAAATGCAGCCATACGTACCTCCCAGGACGTATTTTACGGTCTCCAGAAACGTCCACGGGACTACGTTTTCAGAATGAGCCTGGGTTAAAAGTACCATTACGGGATGATAGCAGGATAGAAATGTAAAATATGGTAGAATCCCAGGAAAAATGGGAGCGTTGACAGTTATGCGCTAGCAACTTCCTAGCAGCTACCCAGAACTGTATAGCAACAACTTAGCAATCCATATGGACAGCCACACACCACATTAAAGTATTTAATTCTGTGATTATAACTTGCATTGCATTATTAGTGCAACGTATTCTATATGTACAACTTTAACAACCTACTAACAAAGTCATGGCAAGCAGGGAAAAATAACATGGCTATGCTCTGAAAACCACCCAGAACACCTTTGCAAAAGCTCACCAACTACTATTGAACAACCACCCAGAACACTAACAACCAAACTAACTCACGCCAATGTACCAAAACTTTTCACATTACACAACACTGTAGCAGCCACATGCAACCTTTTTATGCAATTGTGTAGCAACATGGTAAACAATCAAAACATCTATTAGCAACCACACAGCCTAGCTTCAGCACTTGTAAATTGAAAATGTCAACTGTGTCTGTATGTGTTGCACTGGCATGAGTGAATAGCATGATGGATATTGTATTTTTATTAGGATGACTCCATTGTCTTTCTTTCACACACACTGTCTTTTGTAGCGTGTGTGTGTGTCGTTATATGGCAACCCCATGTTTTGTCATTTTTAGGCTGCAGGACATCCTCTATTCACTTTCTTTCTTGATTCCCGTACTTTTCCTGGTCCTGATGGAGACGCATTCATTCGTGTGTGTGTGTGTGTGTGTGTGTGTGTGTGTGTGCGTGCGTGCGTGTGTGTGTGTGTGTTTAATGATCTGTGTGTGTTTATCAGACGCTTACCTGTATTGATTATATTTGCAGGCCAACCTGGTGGCGGCGTTTGAGCAGAGTTTGGCACTCATGACGGCACGACTACAGAGTCTGTCCGTCACTTCTGAACAGAAGGTCAGTGTGTACAGCAACTACAAACAGTACATTTGGTTATGTTGACAATTGCATAAATAACAAGCCAATAATTCAAAACTTTGGACTCTGGGAAATGTTTACAAATGTTAATGCTCATCAGAGCCCTTTTTCATTTGATGAAAGTGAAGGAAAAAAAGCTAATATTGTGAAATATATTTATGATTTAAAAGATATATTTTAAGCGATGTTTATTTATTAACTAATTTTGAGAGGATCACGTGCTTATGATTGACCACTGCTTGTCCTGCATTAGCCAACGCATGATTCACCGATCGGATGATTCCTAAGTCATTATAAATAACCAAAGCTCTTTACCTCAGTTATCTTTAGCTTAAAGAATCCCCCCTTCCACCCCTACTCCTCCTTTCTGTTCCTTGATAGGGTGGCACAGCGGCCCAGTGGTTAGCACTGTTGCCTCACAGCAAGATCGTCACTGGTCCAAGTCTCTAACAGGCCAGTTAACACTTCTGTGTGGAGTTTACACATTCTCCCCATGCTCGCGTGGGTTTCCCCCAGGTTCTCCGGTTTCCTTCTACAGTCCAAAAGCTTGTTGACATAGGTGAATTGACCAAACCAAATTAGCACCATAGACAAACTCTTAATCAGCAGTATATCTCCCTGTAGCAATCCCTAATATGGCATTCAACATAACAGGGGAGTTCTACCTGAGCTTAAACTCCCCTCTCATCCTGCAAACAGGAGGTAGCCCCGGGCTCGAGGATCTTATGAGCTCTCTCCCGGGACAACATGCCAAACATGCTTTATAATCAATCATCAGCTAAGTGTGAACTGTTGAAATTGATATTTATTTATGGGCTGCAATGCCACATTATCTGCATTTTTTCTCCGTCCTGCAAAGCCCCAACTAGCTTTGAGTTATAATCCTGATATGCTGATCTGATGATCAAAAAACATGTATGATTATTATCAAAGTTAAAAACAGTTCAACAGGTGCTTAATATTTTTTTTGGAAACCATTATCATAATTTTACAATGTAATTCAATTCATCTTTATTTCTATAGTGATTTTTACAATGTAGGTTGTGTCAAAGAAACTTGACAAGATAAAGAAAAGAAAAAAAAGAGTAAAAGTTATAATGTCACACAAGATATATAGCACAAGATTTTACTTCCGTTGATCAAATATATGGAAGTATACATATATAAATAAATAGTATAACACACAAATAAATTTATATTAAATTAGTGTGTCATGTGTTAATGTTCCAGTCATTTTTAAATTTTTTAATTTATCTTTGACTCATCATTTCAGGATACTGAGCTACAGGACCTGAAGGAAACCATAGAGGTTCTGAAGACAAAGAACACAGAGGCTCAGACCCTGATCCATGGGGCTCTCAGCACCCCTGACCCCATGCCCAAAGGTTTGAACATCAGACTTCAGAATAAGCAAAAATAAACAAATAAATAAATATATATTTATATTTATATATTATATAAATAATATATTTACATATACATATATATAATATATATATATAATATATATATATAATATATATATAAGTGTTCAGATACAAAAACGTCTAAATGCCATTTGAAATATTCTCCTAAAATGCGCATTTTTCTCAGCCTCAAATGTTTATGTTCAGTTATTTGACTTTAAAGGCAATGAAAAGAACTTATTCGTCACTATAAAAATAAAATTACATATCCTAAACTCAGGAGTTGGAGAAAAAATGCTATTTTTTAAAGAAAATATCAAATATTATTTTTTTTTTTACTTTTTAAATTCAGTAAATTTCATGGGACCAGTTTTTTTTTTTTCATTTTAATAAAATTTTATTTCATTGTTTTTATTTCATTGTTTTCACCTAAATGGGTGCTATAATGCCCGATTACAGCAGTGCCAATGCCAGAATTTGTCAGTGAATTTTCATATCACAGATCATTTAAGCCCTGTTTGTGAGTGGAAATAAAAACAAACTCTTTTTGTGTGTGTGTCTCTTTAAATTTAAATGATCCAGAAGAGGGCAGAGCCTTTACAGCTTGTGCATCAGGTACTCCAGTTACTTTTCCATGCTTAAACAGCAAAATATCACAAACTGAAAAAATGTAAATGTATGAAATATACATATCTTCTGTATGAAGTGTCCACTAAATGAGCACTAATTTTTTCTCTCAGAGCTGCAGATTGACCGGCAGAACTCATCCGAGAGCATCTCCAGTCTGAACAGCATCACTAGTCACTCCAGCGCCGGCAGCCTGAAGGAGCAGGAGGCCAAAAAGAAGAAGAAGAAAAGCTGGGTGAGGATGTGAACAAGAAAACATAATAACCTGATTAAAAAAAAAAAAAAAACTTCAGTTGCAGTGAGGAGAAACAAGTATTGAACACATCACCATTTTTCTCAGAAAACATATTTCTAAATGTGACAACCAAAGAAATCCTTAAATGCAAAGAAAACAAAACTAATCAGTTTACAAATGAAGTTCTGTGTAATAAAATGAAATGGCACTGGAAAAAAGTATTGAACACATAAAGAAAGGGAGGTGGACAATTGCAGGGAAAGCCCAGAAAGCAGCGGAAAACCCTCAGTAGTTTTTCAGCAACCCTCTGCCCTTCCCCAGTGTAAATGAATATCAGCTGCTTCAGTCAAGACAATTACCAAACACAGCCAAGCAAACTCTGTAATGCTTTCAGAGAAAGAAAATTAAGCTGTAGAATGGCCAGGCAGTCACCTTAATTGCCTGACTTGAATCCAATAGAAAATACAAAATAACAATATTTTAAGTTTTTTAAACTCTGTTGAAGTCTTGTTTTATTTTTATGTTCTTATTGTTTTTTTTTTGTTTAATTATTTATATATTTTATATTTATTTATTTATTGTTTGTTTGTTTATATAGTTTATATTTATTTATTTATTTATTGTTTGTTTGTTTATATATTTTATATTTATTTATTGTTTGTTTGTTTGAATATTATATATTTGTTTGTTTATTTATTTATTGTTTGTTTAAATTTTATATGTATTTTTATTTATTGTTTGTTTGTTTATAAATTAATATTTATTGTTTGTTTGTTTGTTTGTTTGTTTGTTTGTAAATTTTATATTTATTTATTCTTTGTTTATATATTTTATATTTTTTATTCTTTGTTTGTTTATATATTTTATATTTATTGTTTATTTGATTGTTTATATATTTTATATTTGTTTATTTATTTATTGTTTGTTTGTTTGTTTATATGTTTTATATTTGTTTATTTATTTATTGTTTGTTTGTTTGTTTGTTTGTTTATATGTTTTATATTTATTCATTTATTGTTAGCAGGATGATGAAGATGAAACCAGGGTGGACTTGTCAGCAAGACAATAATCCAAAACACAGCCTAGCAAACTCTATAATGCTTTCAGAGAAAGAAAATCAAGCTGCAGAATGGCCAGCCAGTCACCTGACTGAATCCAATAGAAAATGCAAAATAGTGTCAAGATTTTTTAACTCTGTTGAAGTCTTGTCTTATTTTAAGTTTGTATTGTTTGGGTTTTTAGCAAAATCGGGTTCCATTCCATGTCAACAGCTCCTTTAGAAACATCATTCCCCTGACGTGTTCAATACTTCTTCCCCCAAAGCTAATCCAAAACCTCTTAACCTCTAATCCAAAACCTGACAGATCAGTCTGGTTGTGCACTGCAATAAAATTCAGAAAATGTTATCAGTGTATTTGTAATTAAGTATGACTGTGATTTCTTCCCTATGCTTCCCTGCTCCCTTTTTACAGGTCTATGAGGTGAGTTGTTTTCCCTGCCCGTCCCATCCCATCCCATCCATCATGCAATATATGCATCAGAAAAAGTCTTCATTGTCAGTGCATTGTGTGGTGCTGTGTGTATTGTGTGTGTCTGAAACTCAGTTAATAAGTCTCATTCTTCGGCTTAGTCTTTGATTTATTACGCAGTGGATGCCCTTCCAACTGCAACCCACTACTGGGAAACACCCATACACTCCTGCACTGACACACACACCAATATGCTACTATGGCCAATTTAGTTCATACAGTTCACCTATAGCACATTTCTATCAACTGTGGGGGAAACTGATGCACACGGAGGAAACCCACGCCAACATAGGGACAAACATGCAAACTCCACATGGAAATGGCAACTGACGCATCCAGGACTCAAACTGGAGACCTTCTTGCTTTGAGGCAACAGGGCTAACCACTGAGTCACCATGCCGCCCCTCAATTAGGTTATGGATTATGCCTTTCTGGACTGGATTATACCTTTCACTGTGCTCCATGTTAGTAGGTGGAGCATATAGAAAACTTATCCTGCTTTTTCTCAGTACAACTCTGGCAGAATTTCCTGCACAGCATTGTGGGTAATGTAGTTTTTATGCACAGATTCTACTATTAAACAAGGCTGATTTAAAAATAGTTTGAATTAATGTAATGCAACTGATACAAAACCTCTGAGCTCCCTACATGCCTGTCTTTAAAATGTTTTCAGTTGTTAAAAATCCCCATCTTTTATGAATTATTTGTAGACTTATTGGCTGAAATTAAACTCATATTGTTTCTGGTGTCCTGTACTGCTCTCCATTATTTATATGCATTTTTTTAAGTGCTTTGTGATTAATATTGTCATGACTAATGCTTCTCACCTACCATTATTTCTACTGTAAACCTCACAACAGATTTTATTTAATCATTTATAATAAATGTACCACGAATAAAGGCAATCCTTTGAGAAACAATGATACAATAGTTATTAAATTATTTGAACAATTTTTTTTTTGTTGGTTAAATAATATTTTTTCTAGTTTTTTTCGTTTCATTTTTTAATTGCTTTAACTTTTTAAGTTAAATTGTGTTTTTTTCCATTTTTCTGTCATTAATTCTTTAATTATTGTGACTTTTTTAGTTAAATTGTATTTCTTCCAGTTTTTGTCATTTATTTTTAAAATTTGTGTAACTTTTGTAGTTAAATTGTATGTTTGCTGTCATTTATTTATTGTGACTTTTTTTTAGTTAAATTGTATTTTTTCCATTTTTTTTCATTAGATTTTTCTTTTTTTTGTAATTAAATTGTATTTCTTCCATTTTTTGTAATTTATGTTTCTAAAATTATTTTTACTTTTTACGTTAAATTGTATTTTTTCCATTTTTCTGTCATTTAATTTTTTAATTATTGTGCCTTTTTTAGTTAAATTGTATTTTTTCCATTTTTTTGTCATTTAATTCTTTAATTATTGTGACTTTTTTAGTTAAATTGTTTTTTTCCATTTTTTGTTATTTACCTTTTTTGTTCAATTGTATTTTCTTCCAGTTTTTGTCATTAATTTTTAAAATTTTAGAAACTTTTTTTAGTTAAATTGTATTTTTCTGTTTTTTTGTCATTTAATTTTCTAAATAATTTTTACCTTTTTAAAGTCAATTGTAATTTTTTCTTTTTTTAAATTAAATTTTTAAATTATTAAAAAAATAATTAAATACTTTATTTCCAGAGTTTATTGTCATACTTTTTTTTTACTTTGAGTTTTAGTATTATTAAATGTACTTATTGTTGTTAGTTTACACAACAACATTTTTATTTTAGTTTTTTGATGTTTTTTGGTATTTTTTAATGGATTTAGGTTCAGTTTTATTTAACAATAGAAATATCTTCTTTGTTATTGTCTTTGTTACACTACTAATGCATGTTGAAAATGAAGAGGCTTTTCAACAGCACAAAAACCTTTATTATCAAGACGCTAACAGTAACGCATACATCACACATTAAATCATACACCATACCACATGACTCCGTTATTTGTTCATTATGAATACAAACCATCTATACTAACAAACCACGAATTGTTGTCTACTTTTACAATATGACTTCTCATTTCTCATCCACATATAGTTGCGGAGCTCCTTTAACAAGGCCTTCAGCAAAAAGGGACCCAAAGCTCCATACGCAGATATAGAAGAGATCGCAACCCCTGAAGCGTCTGCTCCATCCTCACCCAAAATTCACCATAATGTGGACAACACCTTCACAAAGGCTTCGACTTCAACATTAGGGTGAGAAATATAACATATCCTACGTTGTATATGCCACATTACAGTCAAACCAAAAGATTTTCAGGCACCTGATATAATTTTTTTAATTTTTTAACATTGGATGGAGAACTATGAAGGACTAGGAGAGCCAGTTTAACAATTTAAAGCAATACAATAATTTAAATTGTGATTTATTTATATACATTATTTTGTCCTTTTATATACATTCAATTATTCAATTGATGATTTGAATTGATTTCTTTATTTCATTTCTAACTGGCTCTCCTGGTCCTCCATAGAAAACATTTTCATTCACTGATGGAATTGAGGATAGCAAAATAAAGTAAACTGTGATATTTTACCCAAAAATGATTGGTCCACATGGACTTAAAAACATCAGGAATAGAGGATAAAATATCATTATATAATATTTAATGCATGGGGGAGAGTGAGAAGAGGAAATTCCCCATGATGATATGATTGGATAGGATTATTTAAGTTCATGCACCTTCTGCATTCAGAGTAACTTGAGTTTTTAATTTTGGAATAAATATAAAATACTAAAAAAAAACTTGATGAAGTTCATGACTTAGTTTATATATTTTATTTTTTATTGTTTGTTTATTTGTTTTACATTTAATTATTTATTGTTTGCTTATTTTATTATTTTATTTATTGATCATTTATACATTTTATTTATTGTTTGTTCCAATTATTTTTTTATTTACTTTTAGTTTGTTTAATTATATATTTTATATTTATTTATTTATTGTTTATTTGTATATTTATTGTTTGTTTGTTTCATTTATTTAGTTTATTTGTTGTTTGTTTATTTATGTTTTGTTTATTTATTGTTTGTTTATATATTTGATTTATTTATTTATTGTTTATTTATCTTTTATTGATTATTTGTTTCATTTATTTTGTTTATTTATTTACTTTTTGTTTGTTTATTTATATTTTTATATATTTTTTTATTGTTTGCTTTTTTAAGTTTTATATTTATATATTGTTTGTTTGTTTTGTTATGTTTATTTATTTATTGTTTGCTGATATGTTTTATTTATTTATTTATTGTTTATTTTATTTATTCATTCATTGTATATTTATATATTTTATGTTTATTTATTCATTTATTTATTTATTTACTTTGTGTAAAAATACTTAACAAGTCAAATGTTTCTGAACACAAACATTTTTAATGTTTAAAGAAGCCTTTTCTGCTCACCAAGCCTGTATTTATTTGATCCAAAACTACAGCAAAAGCAGTAATATTGTAAGATATTTATGCACTTTAAGATAACTGCTTTCCATTTAAATATTAAAAATAATAATTACAAAAATATTATTCTTGTTATTTCAAGCAAGTTTTTAAGTAAAATTATTATTTAAAGTAATATATTTTAACCCCCCCCCCCACCCACCCACCCCACCCACCCAAAAAAATGCGACTGGGACATAAATCTACATGTAATTAAGAAAATAAAACCTTTACCTCCTGGTTTGAGAACACAACACACACACACACACACACCTGCTGTATAAAGTCTCTACAGTGTAATGTCAGCTCGCGTTTTCCAGCAGGTCCTGCGGGGGTCCAGAGGAGACAGAGCGGGATGAAAAAGTGGTGTCAGAGTTACGCTCTGAATTGTGGGAAAAGGAGCGAAAGCTGACCGACATCCGGCTGGAGGCGCTAAGCTCTGCACATCAGCTGGAGCAACTGCAGGAAGCCATGACCAACATGCAGGTGTGTGTGCATGTGTGCATGTATACTGGTTGATTATTGTTACAGGTTAAAAATAAAGGTCACACTTTATAATAAGGTTTCACGAGTTAATGAATTTACTAACATGAACTAATAATGAACAATACCTGTGCAGCATTTAGTAATCAAAGTTCAACATTTACTAATGTATTATTAAAATCCTGTTAATGCTTGTTCACATTAGTTAATGTACAGTGAGGTAACATCTAACAACCAATAACCGTATTTCTATTAACTAGCATGAACAAATACTGTAAATGTTTTGCTCATTGTTTGTTCATGTTTGTAAATGCATAAACTTATGCAACCTATTGTAAAGTGTTACCAAAATAATAAACACATTAAACTCACATATGTGATATAAATGCATTGGCAGCTTACAGTCGAGAACCTGAAGGCGGAGAATGACCAGCTGAAGACAGGTGGCCCTACCTCCAGACCTCCAAGCTCCACCTCCCAGTCCTCTGGGCTCGGGTCATTGGGCGTCTCGTCACCACGGCAATCTGTGTCATCATTCAGCAAAACCGCTGGCACTGGACAAACTGAGCCTTATCCAGGTTTACACACGTTTGCAGGAAGACAATATTTTTTTACAGTAATTTCAGGACTTTCTCACTGTAATTTCTGCTGCTTTCACAGACGTGTTTCACAGTCCCACCTCCACTCTTCAGAAGGATGAAAGTCTCGTCAGAGTGTTGGTTCGCATCCCAAACCAGCAGCTGTTTAAAGATGTGAGTAATTTACTCCTTTACTGTTCATTATAGAGCTGGCAATTCTGTAGTAAATACAGCAAAACACTGTACTGAATATTATTTAATATTTACTATTGTCTTTGTATTTTTTTTCTTTTTACACTATTTATTGTTATAATATATATTGAATTAGCCTTTTTTGTGTGCATTTAGTTTGTCATAGTTTGTTTTATATTTATTTAGTTTTTATTTGCATTTTATATTTACAACCAATTAAAAAGGCAATGTTATTTACTGTATTTTATTTTTACTATTTCTACTTTTTTTTGTTTTACATATGTTGATTTGATTTTCAGCATTTTCTTTTCAGAATTATGATATTCTCAATTGTTAAGGCAATCTTTCTAATTTTAGTTTTTTTAGTTATAATGTTTTATGCTTTCATAATTTTTGTTGTATTTATCTTATGTTTTTTTATTTTATAATTTTTTTGTATATTTTAAAACGATTTCCACTTCAGTTTTAGTAATGGTAGAAATTAAAATTTTTCTAGTTAATATTTTTTTTATGTTTTTGATGTTTTATCTTATTTTAAATTTTTTATTTCTTTTATTTTTATTTATTTTATTATTTATTTATTTAATTGTACAATTTTTTATTTAATTTTATTATTTTATGTAATTTAATTTTTATTTATTTTATTATTTATTTATTATTTGATTTTATTTATTTCTATTTATTTAAATGTTTTATTATTATTTTTTTCTCATTATTTATTTATTTATGTATTATTTTATTGTTTATTTTAATTTAATTTAATTAATTAATTAATTAATTTGTTTATTTATTTATTTGTTTATTTATTTATTTATTTATTTTCAGCTGTATTTCAATTACCTAAAACAAATTAAAATAGTTTTTTAGCTAATAATTCATTTTAGTTAACCACAATGGCATTATATATATATATATATATATATATATATATATATATATATATATATATATATATATATATATTTACACCCATAACAAACCTTAAAACTTGCTCTATATTTTATTAAAATTAAATGTGTGATTGACAGGAGGTGAAACAGCTGGAGTTTTTCATCGGCTCAGTTAGGATCAGTGGACGGACGGACTGGTTTTCTCTGGACTCTGCTGTTATCCAGGCTTTTAAAGTGAGTGTCGGCCTCTGAAAACTCCTCATGTTGAGATGAAGAATGAAAACTCTCCTTTACAGTGTGTGTTTGTGTGTGTGTGTGTGTGTGTGTGTGTGTGTGTGTGTGTGTGTGTGTGTGTGTGTGTGTGTGTGTGTGTGTGTGTGTGTGTGTGTGTGTGTGTGTGTGCAGGAGTATCTGTCGGTGGTGGACCCGGGCTCCAGCCTTGGCCTCTCTCAGGACTCCATCTACAGCTACAGCCTCAGTCACCTGAAGAGGGTTTTGGGGGCGCAGCCGCCAGAGACGCCACCGGTGCGCCTCTACAGCCGAGGACAGGCCTGCATCACTGTGGCCCTCAAGGGTCAGTCAATACACATCTTATACACACAATGCTACACTTCTATGGACACTTTCACATTTCCAGGTTTCTCAGCAGCAGAAGTTTTTATAGTTGGGTAAATAAGAGCGCAGTGAATGACAGCAAATGTCAGCATAGCAGGCTGTTTTATGGCTAAAAATTAATTGAAGTGAATGAGACCAGAAGTCTTGAGATAATAAATTTTAAAATTCATTCATTGTCTTTTGGCTTAGTCCCTTTATTAATCAGGGGTCGCCACAGCAGAATGAACTGCCAACTTTCCCAGCATATGTTTTACACAGCGGATGCCCTTCCAGCATCAACCCAGTCCTGGGTAACATTCGTACACACTTATTCACACACATACACCACGGCCAATTTAGTTTACCCAAGTCACCTATAGCGCACGTGTTTGGACTGTGGGGGAAACTGGAGCATCTGAGGAAACCCACGCCAACACGTGGAGAACATGCAAACTCCACACTGAAATGCCAGCTGACCGAACCAGGACTTGAACCAGTGACCTTCTTGCTTTGAGGCAACAGTGCTAACCACTGAGCCACCGTGTCGCCTGATAATAAAGATAATGATAATGATAAAACATCTGCTTAGGTGAAAGAGTAAGATCAATATTTATATAATTTATATAATTTATAAAATTAATTGCATAATTATGTGTCTTATGCAATTTTTTTATTTGGTTATATTTTTATTTCTTAAGTTTATATTTTATTTAACTGTGCATATCAAATGTGTAATTATAATTATGTACAATCGATATTAATGAGTGTAAAATAATTGTACAACTTGTATTTTATGAGTAATTGTATAAGTGTCACTATTAATAATTATTATTATTGTTATTATTAATACTATTATTAGTGGTGTTATGGTTAACAAGAATAAAATAATGAAAAAAGTTAATTGAAAGAAAGAAAATATAAAAATATATTTTATTTCAGGTACTTGCCAGGTAAGTAATCCTCATTTTCATTTAGTAAAACAAAAATAATCTAAAAAAGAACGAAAAAAATGAACTATAAATATAAATTAGTGATGAACAAACATTAATCATATTTCCCCCACTGTCCATAATCATGCGCTATAGGTGGATTGGGTAAACTAAATTGACCTTAGTGTATGTGTGTGAATGCAAGAGTGTATGGGTGTTTCCCAGTGTTTGGTTGCAGCTGGAAGGGCATCCGCTGCCACAAACATATGCTGGATAAGTTGGTTGTTCATTCCTCTGTGGTGACCCCTGATGAATAAAGGGAATAAGCCGAAAAGAAAATGAATGAAAGAATGAATAAATGCTTTATATATACAGTTGAAGTCAGAATTATTCGCCCCCCTGTTTATTTTTTCCACAATTTCTGTTTAACAGAGAGCAGATTTCTTCAACTTATTTCTAATCATAATAGTTTTAATAACTCATTTATAATAACTGATTTATTTTATCTTTGCCATGATGACAGTAAATAATATTTGACTAGATATTTTTCAAGAAACTTCTATACAGCTTAAAGAGACATTTAAAGGCTTGACTATGTTAATTAGGTTAACTAGGCAGGTTAGGGTAATTAGGCAAGTTATTGTATAATAATTTTGACCTTAAAATGGTTTTAAAAAAAATAAAAACTGCTTTTATTCTAGCCGAAATAAAACAAATTATTTCTCCAGAGGGAAAAAAAATAGACATACTGTGAAAATTTCCTTATTTGTAAAAAAATTAAAATGGGGGCTAATAATTCTGACTTTATTATTATTATTATTATTATTGTTGTTGTTGTTGTTGTTGTTGTTATTAAAATACATTTTACTGGACTGTCCTGCTTTTAATGATTCCAGAAGACTTTTTTATGGAATGAACTCTCCTTAGGACATTTTTAGCAAAGTGACACCAGAAAAGATTTTAGAATTGTTATCATGTATTAAATTTATTTCATTTATGTATTCATTTGTTTGTTGATTTTTAATTGTATATTTATTATTGAAATATTCCTGCCATGAAAATAGCCTTGGTTGCTGACATGGTATTAAATAAAAAATACATTATTATTATTATTATTATTATCATTATTATTATTATTATTATCATCATCATCATCATCATCATTATTATTATTATTATTATTATTACTTATACTAATGAATAAATTAATTGATTTGTAATCAATGTCTCTCTATGAAACACTGATCTGCGATGGTGTCTGTGTGCAGGGCTGAAGGAGAAGTGTGTGGACGTGCTGGTGTTTGAGACGCTCGTCCCGAAGCCCATGATGCAACACTACATCAGTCTGCTGCTGAAGCACCGTCGGCTGATCCTGTCTGGTCCCAGCGGCACTGGGAAAACCTACCTCACCTACCGGCTGGCGGAGTACCTGGTGGAGCGCAGCGCCCGCGAGCTCACGCCAGCCATTACCAACACCTTCAACATGCACCGCCAGTCCTGCAAGGTCTCCGCACTAACCAACGTTTATAACCATTCTGCTGCAGACACTTCACTCAAATGACTGATTTCTTTACACTTTCATCACCAGTGTTCCGGGAAAAAAAGTCATGTATTAGAATCTAAAGTCAAACAGTACCTAAATGTAATACCTAATTACTTTTTAAGGAAAGTAATGTGAAATTTCTTGGTCCAGGTACACTGAATCACCTCCAGCAAACTGCATGGTTTTTAATGCTAAAATAATTCTGATACAGCTTTAACATTTATTTGAACAGTGTAAGAAATTAAATACACTTTTTAAAAACTTCAACGTACAGTTTGCAACTAAACATACAACTAAATGACATTACTCCACATATATTTTGACTCTTTATTTTTAGAGATGAAATATTTAAGTATGCAAGTCATTTGTATTCATTTATTCATTTTATTTTCATATTAGCATATTATATTATATTAGTGGTCAAAACATGTTCATGACTGCATAAATTATTATCCTTTTTTTTTAAAAGTCAAATATTGTGCATGTACGCATTTGTAGGCTATCTAAGGGTGCTTTCACACCTAGACTTTTGTTTCGGAACCGGTCTCGTTTGCCTAGTTAGAGCGGTTCGTTTGGCATATGTAAAACCAGCAATCGCGCTCGAATCTGCGCCAAATCAATCGGTTCGAGATTGCCTGAATGAGGTGGTCTCGGCTTGATTGAAACGAACTTTGGAGCGGATGGATTGTAGTGAGAAAGCGAAACGATCCGAGCCCGGTTATATCACAGTGTATTATGGATATATAATAGGCATATATAGCTATATAGGAGAGAATGATGAGTAGAACCGGAGGTCATTCCTACCAGTAAATGTGTGTTTCATGTTAAATACGAAAATGTAAGCATGCTGAACTATTAACGAGAGCTGTTAATCTGTTAGGAGCATTGACCGAACTGCAGACTAGCCAAGGGCTATGCATGAGAGAGTCTTACCTCTGATTTATATCTGGTGACGATGTCCGTGTGCATCACCATTCAAAATTAAAGCGCAGCTTTCCGCATATTATGTCCTATTGCTCATTGTCATGAATTAAAATAAGGACACATGACAGCTGAGCGGGACCTATGAGTGGGACTCTGCAAAATAAACCATGAAACCAATGAGAGGAGAGTTAATAAGTTGACTTGTTTTAGCTTTTTTGGTCCGTTTAGAAACTTTGCAGTGTGAAAGCGAACCGCACCAACAACACAAACAAACATTGTAACAATTTGAATTCCTGTTTCGGAACAAATTAATCGATTCACAGGTGTAAAAGCACTCTAAAAAGTTTACATCAATACAATTTCTCTTTGAACCACCAGGTGGCAGTCTTTGTACTTTTTTATTTTTACTTTTATCTACGGAGTGCAGATTGCATACATTTTATTAATATATATTTTTAAACTTATATACGTAAATATATATACGAGTGCTACGAGTGTGATATTGCGTTTATATAACAGTTTGACCGCATAATTGTGTATATAAAAACAAAATCAAACATGGAGAGTCTCAAAAACCCTTTTGTATGAGACACTACTTTCTTCCGCCTTGGATTAAAATCATAAGCTGTCAGTTAAACAGAGTGAGCATCTTTTAAACTTTAGATCTGTAGTGTCTGCTTTTTGCTGGCTGTATGTGGGCGGAGTAATACACAAAGGGTAAAGAGGCTGTACGGGTGCTGATATTACTTAAACATTCGGTACGTACTTTCAGTATTACCTTTACTTGTATGACCTGATCTAATCCTGTTTATATATAATGAGCCTGCTCCCAAGCAGGTTTGAGCTACCAGAGCTGTTGCTATGAAAACAAGTCTCAGATGAGTTTTAAAGAACTAAACAATCTTGGATCATGTCAAATCCTCAATAACCAAATCCAGCTAACTGAATAATCCACGTACGAAGAACGGACCCCAGATTGACAGAACCATGACTAGTATATCTGTGATAATATGAAAAAAAAGATGATTATCTATTCTTTTTATTCCAAAAATCATTAGAAAATTAAGTTAAAGATGAATAGTACAGGTCAAGTTCCATAAGGATTTCATATATATTGTATACTCTAAATAAATAGGAACTCAGTTATTGAATTTTTGCATTAAGAATCAATTTGGACAAAACTTGGGGATATCTTCTCAATATTTAGATTTCAGATATTCAGTTGGTTGTATCTCAGCCAGATACTACCATATCCTAACAAACCATAAGTCAATGTCAAGCTTATTTAGCTTTCAGATGAAATCTCTTTAACTGTTTGTTGTCTTTGTTTTTCCATCAGGACCTTCAGCTCTATCTTGCCAATCTGGCCAATCAGATCGACCGGGAGAGCAGCACTGCTGAAATCCCATTGGTTGTGATCTTAGATGATGTGCACGAGCCCACATCCCTCAGTGAACTTGTAAATGGTGCTTTAACCTGTAAATATCATAAATGGTGAGTTTGTACTGTACACTAAGAGGAATAGTGTCTCTGGCAGTCATTTTAAAGCCACTAACAGTGGTTTTGTCGCTCTTTTAGTCCGTATATAATAGGAACAACCAATCAGCCAGTGAAGATGAGCCCAAATCACGGTCTGCACCTCAGCTTCAGGTGGGTCTTCTCACAAGATTTACTGCTTTTGAAGCTGCCTTTGGCTTGTTGTTGGACGAACGGCTGTGATGTTTCAGGATCTTGTGCTTTTATTTTTGTTGCTAATTTGAGTGACATTAACACATGCCACTGTGGTCTTCAGCAGTGTTGGGTAAAGTTGTTTTTAAAAGTAGTGCTGTCAAATGATTAATCATGAGTAAACGCATCAAATATATATATATATATATATATATATATATATATATATATATATATATATATATATATATATATATATATATATATATATATATATATATATTTTTTTTTTTTTTTTTTTTTTTTTTTTTGTAAGTATACGTGTGTACTGTGTATACTTATGTATATATATGTAACCCCGCTGGTCCTACACCACCCAACCCGCTCCGAGCTGGTATCGAACCGGCGACCTTCCGCATGGGAATTCGCTAGAGCATCTTTAGAGGTCAGAGGAGTGAGGTTTACCACAGCACACACTAGCTGGCCTCCGTTACACTCACCCCCCTAAACCTCACTCTCATCCGGGTCACGGCACCAATGTAACCCCGCCGGTGTAACCCCACCGGCGAACCTTCCGCATAGGAGTCAGGGGCTCTACTAAGGAGGCTAAAGACCATGGTCTCTAGCATCTGTCGCTAGAGCACCTTTAGAGGTCAGAGGAGTGAGGTTTAACTGCACAGCACACACTAGCTGGCCTCCGTACATATACACAGACAGAATATACAAAAAAATATGCAAAAGAAATATGGGAATTTATTTATGTTTGCAAAAGTAGTGCTGTCAAACATTTAATTGAAAATAATAACATCCATGATAAAAGTTTGCATTGACATAATTTATACAAGTGTACTGTGTATATATGTATAAAGGCACACACATACTACAGTATACATGAAATAAAAGAAATCTATTTACATATACATTTATATATTGTATATTAGGCGACACGGTGGCTCAGTGGTTAGCACTGTCGCCTCACAGCAAGAAGGTTGCTATTTTGAGTCTCAGCTGGTTCAGTTGGAATTTCTGTGTGGAGTTTGCATGTTCTTCCTGTGTTAGCATGGGTCTCCTCTGGGTGCTCCGGTTTTCCACACATGAACTATAGATCAATTGAATAATCTAAATTGGCCGCAGTGTATGAGTGTGTGTGAATGAGTGTGTTTAGATGGGTAAGTTGGCGGTTCATTCCGCTGCGGCGACCACATGAGTATACACAGTATGCACAAATATAATTTGGAGATATGAACTTATATTCTGGATAAGATAAATTGCGATAAATCGTTTTGACAGAACTATTTCAAAGTAATATTTTACAATTGTATGCATGTTTTGGTTTTAAAATAAAGGTAAAAAAATAACACAACACGTACTTTCACATTGCTTTTCTTAAAAATGAACAAAGTAACAAATTTTATAACTTTTTTAATTGATTTAAGTGAATAATTTCCTAATTGAATAGTGTAAACAGCATGCATTTGATTATGTTTTAAGTGCACTTGGGTTACCTCCAGTAATTTATTTGTTGTCTGTTGATTTTTTCGGTAAGCAGTCGTTATAACAGGATAATGTAGTCAGTGGTGAACTTAACAAAACACACAGAATTTTTTTGCATAATTACTGACCCATTTATAACATTTTATGGATTAATGTTAGCAAATACTATGGGCTCTAGTTAAATGATTTAGCCGCAAAGTCTAAAGCACATGGTGCAAAAGCATTAAGGGCGTATCCGAATCTACTTTTGCTAAAGATTGAGCCTCCTCCAATTAGCCTACATAATTAATTTTAAGCACAAAGTTTGTTTCAAAACTATTTCAAAATCCAGTTCTAATTTCCAGCAAATTAATAAATGAACAATAATAACAAAGTGTGATCAGAGTTATATGTAAAACATACATGCTATGCCCCATATGGTAGAAAACCTGACCGGTGCACTAATCTAAACTTGTTTTTAATAAAACAAATATAAATATGCATATAATAAATAATACTGTTAATGATAATAACATTATACAAAAGCAAGTTGTCATGAATAAACAAAAAAAAGCCCCCCGAGATGAAGAAGACATGGAGGCAGTGGTTTTTATATTTATGTAGAAAGTAATAATTATTGTAATAGTTTCATCCTTTAATACTTTTTCATTTGTAAAGATATTTGCATAATGCTTGACATCCCGCGTGTTTTAAGCAATGTGTAAGCGAGGCACACAACTGACGCGCTGCTTTCAGCTGGTCTATTACAGTCTTTTTTAGTTCCTCAAAATAGCAATGTGCCAACAATCCGCCTTAACACACCTCTTTTACTTGACCAAAACACCCATTAGTCCACAAAGAGGTGCAAATGCATTTGCTATTTAAACAATGTGGTGGAAAACAGGAAAATTAAGGCTGCGCTGGTCTGAAAATAGCAACATGTTTCGGCAAAAGCATCTTGCACCTTATTGCACCGGGTGTATGATAGGGCTCTAAGTGCACAAAGTATTTAAAATTAATATTTCACATAATTTCAATGTTTTTTATATTTACCTTTGTGTGCACTACTGGTTTAAAAAGTATGTTAAATATTAATAGAGTGAAAATTTTACTATTTAAAATAACTTAATTAATAAATTTAAAATGCAATTTATTCTTAATATGCAATGAAACTTTGTGAAATAATTTTGATTTGATGATCAAGAAACATTATTATTATTATTATCATCATCAATATTAAAAGTTGTGCTGCTTTGTATTTTTGTGGAAATCTTTGCAGTATTGTTGGATAATTAAAAAGTCTTCATTTGAAATTTAGCAAAATTAAAATTGTCTATGCTGCCACTTTAGCGTCCTTGCTAAAAAAAAAAAAATGTTAATGTATATTTTCTATACAGGATGGTGACGTTTTCGAATAACGTGGAGCCAGCCAACGGGTTCCTGGTGCGTTACTTGCACAGAAAACTGATGGAGGCTGAAGACCCGAGGAGTGTGACCAATGAAGATCTTCTGCGGGTGCTGGACTGGGTGCCCAGACTCTGGTACCACCTTCACACCTTCCTGGAGAAACACAGCACCTCCGATTTCCTCATCGGTAATCTCCATCTTCATTATCAGAATCATGCCAAATGAGATGTTATTTCAGTACAGTGTTTTCCACCGACTTAGAATACAGCCAAAATTATTATATTTCTTTTTTTAATTTTTTTTATTTCCCAAATGATGTTTAACAGAGCACCGTGCCACGGACATTAAAATCTTTCTGGAGATAAATTTTTTTCAAAGATACATTCATATAAATCATGCTGCATTTTGATTTTGAAAGGTGCAGCGCTCATGTCTATTCAACAAATCCAAGATTTTTGGAAAATTAATGTGTGGTGGTTAGTTTTGATTAAATGGTGGGCTGCCATAATTAATTCAGTATACTTATAAATCTAATCCTCTCTGTGTTTTAGGCCCCTGCTTTTTCCTGTCCTGTCCAGTAACAGTGGAGGACTTCCGCACATGGTTTATCGATCTGTGGAATCACTCCATCATCCCGTACCTGCAGGAAGGATCCAAAGATGGCATTAAAGTGGGTAAAAGAATTCTTAGGGGGTAAATGCAGTAGTCAACGTTTAAAGATGATCAAAAAAAGCCAAAATTGTCCTAAAACAAGAATGAAAGTTGTTTAATAGTTTTATGACAACTTTGATGAAAGGTTTTGGCCCGCTTTAAATGTTGACCACACTTTATCAGCTCCTCTGTTTTGAGGTCCAGACTCCATCAGCTCCTCCATTTTGAGGTCCAGACTATATCAGCCCCTCAATTTTGAGGTCTACTCTTCAATATTGTAGTCCAGACTCCATCAGCTCCTCAGTAGTCTGGTCCAGACTCCATTAATCCCTCCATCTTGTGATCCAGACTCCATCAGCTTAGCAATTTTGTGGTCCAGAATCCATTAATCCCTCCATCTTGAGGTCCAGACTCCATTAGCTCCTCAATATTGTGGTCAAAACTCCATCAGATTCTCAATATTGTAGTCCAGACTCCATCAGCTCCTCCATATTGTAGTTCAGACTCCATCAGATTCTTAATAGTGTAGTCTAGACTCCATCAGATTCTCAATAATGTAGTTCAGGCTCCATCAGATTCCCAATATTGTGGTCCAGACTCCATCAGCTCCTCAATATTGTAGTCCAGACTTTATCAGATTCTCAATAGTGTAGTCTAGACTCCATCAGATTCTCAATAGTGTAGTTCAGACTCCATCAGATTCCCAAGATTGTAGTCCAGACTCCATTAGATTCCCAAGATTATAGTCCAGACTCCATCAGATTCTCAATATTGATGTCCAGACTCCGTCTGATTCTCAATATTGTAGTCCAGACTCCATCTAATTCTCAATATTGTAGTCCAGACTCCATCTGATTCTCAATATTGTAGTCCAGACTCCATCTGATTCTCAATATTGTAGTCTATACTCCATCAGATTCTCAATATTGTAGTTCGGACTCCATTAGCTCCTCAATATTGTAGTCCAGACTTTATCAACTCCTCCATCTTGAGGCCTAGACTCCATCTGCTCCTCAATATTGTAATCCAGACTCTATCAGAACCTCCATCTTGAGGTCCAAACCACATCACCTCATCCATCTTGTCCTTCAGACTCCATCAACTTGTTTGTTTTTGTTTTAAAAAAAACTGAAATTTTGCTAGAGTTACCTACAAAATGTTTAGGATACACCAACAGTCGATTAATTATTTGTCAAAAATTTAAATGAGGAAAATGCATAATTTTAGATCAGGGGTGTCAAACTCAGTTTCTGGAGGGCCGCAGCCCTGCATAGTTTAGTTCCAGCCCTGCTTCAACACACTAATGCCGCAGTTTGAGCTTGCAAAATTCTGTCATACGCTGCTGCGAAAAGGGGCGAGGTTAAATAAGACTTCAATATTGTATTCCAGACTCCATCAGCTCTTCCATTATGAAGTCCAGACTCCCTCAGCTGCTCCATATTGAGGTCCAGACTCCATCAAATCCCCAATATTGTAATCCAAACTCCATAAGCTCCTCCATCTTGAGATCCATTAATTCCTCCATTTTATAGTCCACACTCCATTTTGAGGTCTAGGCTCCATCAGCTCCTTAATATTGTAGACTAGACTCCTTCAGATTCTCAATTTTGTAGTCCAGACTCCATCAGATTCTCAATATTGTAGTTCAGACTCCATTAGATTCTCAATATTGTAGTCTAAACTCCATCAGATTCTCAATATTGTAGTCCAGACTCCATCAGATTCTCAATATTGTAGTCCAGACTCCATCAGATTCTCAATAATGTACTCCATACTCCATCAGATACTCAATATTGTAGTCCAGACTCCATCAGATTCTCAATATTGTAGTTCAGACTCCATCAGATTCTCAATATTGTAGTCTAATCTCCATCAGATACTCAATATTGTAGTTCAGACTCCATCAGATTCTCAATATTGTAGTTCAGACTCCATCAGATTCTCAATATTGTAGTCCAGACTCCATCAGATACTCAATATTGTAGTTCAGACTCCATCAGATTCTCAATATTGTAGTTCAGACTCCATCAGATTCTCAATATTGTACTCCAGACTTCATCAATTCCTCCATCTTATTGCCTAGACATAAAAAGAAGCAAGCGATTGTTCGCATATGTTAAATTTCTGTACTGAGAGGTCATGCTTTGATCTTTGATTGGTCTCATTCTCAAGTCAGAGTCCACCAAGCTTGAATTTTGCAACACAGCAAACTGTGAAACTTGTCGCACAAGCTTATGTTTCCGGTCTGTTGCATTCACTTGCATATGAATAAAAGTCAATGAGGGGAAAAATGCGATGTGACCGCGGCTTTACCTGCAGGTTTCAAACAAGACGGAAGGAATCAATTAGTTTGATCAGGTGTGTTTAGTTAGGGTTGGAATTAAACTGTGCTGTGACTCTCCAGGAACAGAGTTTGACACCTGTGTTTTAGATATTTTCTGGAACATAAGGGGAACACTATTTTGAACATGGCTAGTTTTCATTTCAAAATGCAAACACAGCAGTTTAATGTAGCTGAGTGTTTGTGTTTTGTGTTTGTGCAGGTTCATGGGCAGAAGTCTGTATGGGAGGACCCGGTGGAGTGGGTTAGAGGGTCCCTGCCGTGGCCTTCTGCTCAACAGGACCAGGCCAAACTCTTCCACCTGCCTCCACCCAGCACTGGCCCTGGCAGCCCCAGCCAACCAGCGGACGAGCGGACACATAAAGAGACGCCGCCCAGCTCTGTGGAGTCTGATCCACTGGTCAGTGTGTGGATTCACCGGATAATAAACAGATTTTCACAAAGATCTTTTTGGTTGTTGTTTTGAGCAATTTCTGTTTCATGCAAAAGAGTAAAGTTAATGTCTGTGCTCACTGCAGTTCATGTTCCTGCAATCTGTGCTCTTTTGTTCTAGATGGCGATGCTGTTAAAACTACAAGAGGCTGCAAATCACATCGAGTCACCGGAGAAAGAAACAGACCCAAAACTCCCTCCTCTCTGAACATCTATCGCTCACGTCGAGGTCCAGACTCCATCAGCTAGCTTCTCCATCTCTCCTTTAGCCAATGTTAAAGTCCAGACTCCCAACAGTTCCTCCATCTTGAGGTCCAGACTCCATCAACTCCCCAATATTGTGGTCCAGACTTCATTAATTCCTCAATATTATGGTCCACACTCCATCAACTCCTCCATATTATAGTCCAGACACCATCAGCTCTTCAATATTGTGTTCCAGACTCCATCAGCTCTTCCATTTTGAAGTCCAGACTCCATCAGCTGCCCCATATTGAGGTCCAGACTCCATCAACTCCCCAATATTGTAATCCAAACTCCATCAGCTCCTCCATCTTGAGTTCCAGACTCCATTAATTCCTCCATTTTATGGTCCAGACTCCAACTTTAGGTCCAGGCTCCAACTAATTCTCAGTATTGTAGTCCAGACTCCATCTGATTCTCAATATTGTAGTCCAGACTCCATCAGCTCCTCAATATTGTAATCCAGACTCCATCAGCTCCTCAATATTGTAGTTCAGACTCCATCAGATTCTCAATATTGTAGTTCAGACTCCATCTGATTCTCAATATTGTAGTTCAGACTTCATCTGATTCTCAATATTGTAGTCCAGACTCCATCAGATTCTCAATATTGTAGTCCAGGCTCCATCAGCTCCTCAATATTGTAGTCCAGACTCCATCAGATTCTCAATATTGTAGTCCAGGCTCCATCAGCTCCTCAATATTGTAGTCCAGACTCCATCAGATTCTCAATATTGAAGTCCAGACTCCATCAAATTCTCAATATTGTAGCCCAGACTCCATCAGATTCTCAATATAGTAGTCCAGACTCCATCAGATTCTCAATATTGAAGTCCAGACTCCATCAGATTCTCAATATAGTAATCCAGACTCCATCAGATTCTCAATATTGAAGTCCAGACTCCATCAGATTCTCAATATTTTAGTCCAGACTCCATCAAATTCTCAATATTGTAGTCCAGACTCCATTAGATTCTCAATATTGTAGTCCAGACTCCATCAGATTCTCAATATTGTAGTCCAGACTCCATCAGATTCTCAATATTGTGGTCCAGACTCCATCAGCTCCTCATTATTGTGGTCCTGACCTCATCAATTCCTCCATCTCATTGTCTAGACTCAATCAGCTCCTCAATATTGTGGTCCTTCGATCTTCTCCATCTCTCCAGCCAGCTATGTCAAGGTCCAGATTCCAACACTTCCTGATGACACTGTACTGTTACTATTAATGCTGTTAGTTCATTTCACCCACGTATTTATTTAACTACCCATTCCACCCGTTTCATTTCAATCCAATGCCCCTTACAGAAAAGTACTAGGGTGGTATCATGGTAATACCATGGCACTTTAATGTGTAGTTGAAGTTCTGCCAACATGCTATACTCCATTTTAAGCAGCATTTTACTCTTGTAAAGTTATTCAGCATGCAGATTTGATGAGCTCTTGTTCACTGAGAGACTACAAGAAATATTTGTACTTATTATAAAAGACAAGTCACACCTCAGGACCTTTAAAAATGTAAACAGGAAGATATGAATGTGGTTTTAAAAATGTAGAAAGAATTGGTGAAAAGTTATAGCACTTAAATCTTTTCTTATACATACATACATTTAAATATCCAATATATAGTGGTACTGAGTACAAAAAAGCATGGTATTACCACAGCAATTTCTCCATCTATGTTCATACATGGTACTTTTATGTAAGGGCTTTTGTCATACATAACTACAAGAATAACATACTATGACAGCTATAAACGCCGATGATTTTATAGCACGTCTATCTGCATATTTCTGTTTACAGAGGTTAATGTACATACGGATGTAATTTCTCTTTTGCGGGAGCCTTTACTGTTCCACTTCTGCCCGTTTTAACAACACAACGATACAGGTGCTAACAACGTGCGCTCTCACGGTCACAAGCAACAACCGATCTGGGGTATTTTGGGTAATATAAGATGTCTCCTTCGCCGACGTGACACTTTACAGGCCACTTTAGCCTATGCTGCTTTTTGTACTTTTCATTTCTTTCACATTATTAAAAAAAGGCCACAGCATAAGCTACAGTTAAAACCCCAAACCTTCAGTGTCAGAAACTGTTATGCAGGTTGCGTAGGATAAATCCGTCCTCATTATACCACGGTAAATGCCTTAAAACAGATTCAAAGCGTGCTATCGTGTTCTCTTCTCATCCTGTAGAGGGCAGAGTCGAGCAATCTTTACTATTTAATGGCACCTTTCTCTTTATGATTGTGAATCTGGATTGAACTGGCCACAACAGACAGGATGCTGAATTGGAATTTGATTTGGAGTGTTTTTATGTCGCATTTTTGATTAAGTGGCTTTAAGTACTAGGTGCTTGCATCCAAAAATATGTGTAATGTGCTCCTTTGTTTATAATATACTGGACAACACTTCTGGTATTGCGGTGGGACATTAGTAAGGTTAGGGACAGGTTTGGTGGTATGGGTAAGCTATGGTATTATATGGTATATATATGTATATATATGTATATATATATGTGTATATATATATATATATATATATATATATATATATATATATATATATATGTATGTATGTATGTATATGTATATGTATATATATATATATATATATATATATATATATATATATATATATATATATAATTTAAATTAACTTTAAATGTTATCAATTCTACATTTTTTATTTATTTTATCATAATATCATTCAAAACCCTTTGTTTAACATTTTTATTTACTGAAAAGATGCATGAGCTGTTCTTGAAGATCCAACTTTTATTATTGAAAAGTTAAAAAAGGTAATTTTTATTAGTTTGAAATGACTGTCTAGGATTTTCATATAAATTAAGTCACAAAAAAATATTGAGTCTCCTTTAATTTTAAGTTTAATTTTAAGTTTATATCAATATGTTATGTCAACACAATCTCACAGCAATTCGTAACTTTTTGATTTAGTGGCTAATTTGTGCGATCTCATTCATAAAATTTAGTACGATTTACTTATCCCCAAACAACAGTTGGATTTAGGGGGGAGGGGTTAAGTGCCACGCCTCCTTTTTAAAATTGTAGATTTTCGTACGACTCCACTAAACTGACTAAACATAAATCACTTGAGTTTTCTCATGAGATCAGGCTTTTTATGTACAATATATTGTTTTAACTTCTTTAACTTAATCCTTTAAAAAAATTCAATTACTCTAAAATATCCAAGTTTGAAAGTGGACAGAAAGAATCCCAAAATTGGTGACAAGAAGTGTCTCAAAATGCGATTCAGAAGTGTAAACTAAAGGAAAACACCCCCGATCAATAGATATTTATTACAATGCAGCTAATTTTTTAAACTAAGTAAACACACTGTGTCCTAACTACATGCAATGTGACAAGGTCCCAGTGACAAGCAGTAACAAGCACCAAACGCTACGTGACAGAAAAGTCACAGTTCTGACTTTAATTTTCAGACTGTCTGCTAGTTAATGGTCATGTAAAATAGTGTTCAAACTCACATTGGTAAGATTTAACGCTGAATTAAGCACATTACCTGAGGCGATTATTGACATAGTAGTTTATGTTGTTGTTTTGCTGTGACATCACAGAAAAAAAAAACTGTTTCTAAAATAGAAAATGTGTGCATTGCTGTCGCAGATGGTTAAAACAAAACTTAGACATTATATATATTAGATAAACAGGTAGTTAGTATATTTAACAATAATAAAAGTACATAAGCTGAGTGACTGATGTTGTTGGTTTTGTTGGTTTTGGAGTCGCAGTTCTGACTTTCATTTTTTTAATGGTCTGCTTGTTATTTTATTTACAAGATCTGAGGTGAACTATCTGCAGCTGCTTTCAGTAGTATGGCAATAAATGTCATGTAAAATAGTATTTAAACTCACATTGGTAGCATTTACAGCTGAATTAAGCACATAATCAGTACCTGAGGTGATCATTGTCATAGTAGTTTATGCTGTCGTTTTGCTGCAATGTCGCAGAAATAGAAACTGTTTCTAAAATAAGAATTTTGCGCATTGCTATGTATGATAAAGACAAAAAACTTGGTTTAACAGTGCTGCATTGGGTATAGTTAGGACATGAAGTAACACTTTAATTTTACAGTAGTACCACTTTAATTATACTTCATTCCAAATCAAAACGACAATTCTGCATCCTGTTTTAAAAGGTGATACTCCCTCTAGGGGGCAGTGTTCTCAAAACTCAAGTTTGTGTTCAAGCGCACCTCACTAACATGCTGTAAAGACAATTAGTGTCCAGAGAGACGTTCCAGATCACAAACTGACTATTTCTCTGCACTATGATTTACTGGTTCTGTAGAGACGTTTCTGACTCGGCTTTGACACTGATCTCAGCTCAGGGGTTTGGTTATCTCAGGCCTCTCTAGTTAGATTCAATATAGTGCTGTCTATCTTCTCAGTTAACTGCTCTCTTTGTAGCAAATGGTGCAAATGTAGGAAACCAAATACTCAGTGCTTTATTCTGTATGAGCCTTTTATTTGGAGAGGATTGCCCCAACCAAGATTATCTTTGATTATTTGGTGCTAACTCTAATATTAAGGAAAAAGGTTTCCAAACGTCTCGGTTTAGCAAAAATCGCACTTGACATCACTCATCATCGTAGTCTCTAAAGAGATGGTTCATCATAAACTGATAATTTTGGTGTGGACACACACTCAAGTAGCTTTTTATGAATTTTGTTCTTCTGTTGAACACAAAGTGAAGTTGATTTATAAACTAATTTTGAGAGGATCACCTGCTTATGATTGACCACGGCTGGTCCCGCATTAGCTATCATATTATTTACCAATCAGGCAAATCCATATTTACATAAATAACTAGATTTCCTTACCTTGGTCATCTTCATCTTGAAGCATCCCCCCTTCCACCCCTAGTCCTCCCCATCTTTCCTAGATTGATTCAGGTGGCTTTTCTGAGTTGAGTTTGCATGTTCTCCTCGTGCTCACGTGGGTTTCCTTTGAGAGCTCCGGTTTCCTCCCACAGTCCAAAGACATGCAGTAAGTGAACCAAATTGACACTTAATGAGCGTTTTAGCACTGGAAATTCAACGCATAAACATATGCTGGTATAGTTAGCAGTTCATTCCGTTGTTTGCAACCCCTAATAATCAAGGAATACGCCAAACGAACAAATTCAGGGGAGCTCTCTTGGAGCTACCTGAGCTCAGACTCCCCTCTCACCCGATGAAACGAAAGGGAGCCCCAAGCTCTTGGATGATCTGAGCTCAGGGCTCTCTCACAGAACAGCATGCCAAACACGCTTTATTATCAATCGTCAACTACACTCACTGGCCACTTTATTAGGTAGACCTTTCCAACTGCTTAACGCAAATTTCAAATCAGCCAATCACATGGCAGCAACTCAAAAGTGCATTTAGGCATGCAGACATGGTCAAGACGATCTGCTGCAGTTCATACCGAACAGGCTCACCAAAACTGGACAATAGAAGATTGGGGAAACGTTGTCTGGTCTGATTAGTCTCCATTTCTGCTGCGACATTCAGATGGTCGGGTCAGAATTTGGCGTCAACAACATGAAAGCATGGATCCATCCTGCCTTGTATCAATGGTTCAGGTTGCTGGTGGTGGTGTAATGGTCTGGGGGATATTTTCTTGGAACACTTTGGGCCCATTAGTACCAATTGAGCATTGTGTCAACACCACAGCCTACCTGAGTATTGTTACTGACCATGTCCATCCCTTTATGACCACAGTGTACCCATCTTCTGATGGCTACTTCCAGCCAGATAATGCGGCATGTCATAAAGTGTGAATCATCATCTCAGACTGGTTTCTTAAACATGGCAATGAGTTTACTGTACTCAAATGGCCTCCACAGTCACCAGATGTCAATCCAATAGAGCACCTTTGGGATATGGTGGAATATGAGATTCACATCATGGATGTGCAGCCGACAAATCTGCAGCAATTGTGTGATACTATCATGTCAATATGGAGCAAAATCTCTGAGAAATATTTCCAGTACCTTCTTGAATCTTTGCCACCAAGGATTAAGGCAGTTCTGAAGGCAAAAGGGGTCAAGCCTGGTACTACTGTAGTAAGGTGTACCTAACAAAATGGCCAGTGAGTGTAAGTGTTAACTCTTGAAAGACGATATTCTGAAGGCTGCTGGAAAAATCCAGCCATTTACATCAAAATACTATAAAAGTCAATGGTTGATTTAGTCTTCAGTATATCTCTCTTTGTGTTCAACAGAAGAAGGACATTTAGGATTGAGACTAACAGGATGAATATATGACATAATTACATTTTTGGGTGAACTATCCCTTTAAGAGCATCTATAGGAACAAGGGATCATTTTAGTTGAATAATTAATTTTAGTGTTACAATAAGCATCAAATAGTAGTAGTTTAATCATCACACACACACAAACACACACACACACATCCATTACAAAATCACTATCAAAGTAAACGAATCTCCTACACTTAACATATCAAACATTTCGTTATAATCAATATCAATCTCATCACTTAATATATATAAGTATATATCTCTTACAGAAGAGGATTTGTTCACAGAAAGCAGTGGTGGACCAGTAATTTCCCATCTGAATCTACTATCCGAAACATGCATGTAGGTGAGATGTAAGCTAAAAAAAAAAGTTACTCAAATCATTCCACTCCTTTATATCGCATCTCATATATCAGAATATCATTACTGTGTAAATATGATTTCCGTAGTTCCTTCTCTGCGGGTTTGTGGAGTTTATTAGCCAAATAGAGAGATTCATAAGATGGCCAAACGATTGGGTTTTCTTTTAGCCTTCTTTAGTTGCGCTGCTGCTGCTGCTGATTTAAAGTCTTAATATGTGACATTTATATTTGATTACATTCCAGACTTAAGACAGTGTGTCAATGGCTTTTGTTGTGCACATTTCAGAGATGGCATTTGTGCAATGTGGCGAATGCTCCATTTCATAACAGCGCCTCAATGCTGAATTACCTGGATATTGAATCTGGATCAGCGAATAAAGCTAATCGTTGAGGGACTAAATCTCATTCGGTGGTAGAAATCTCATTTGAAGTGTGACTAAAGCCGCTGTGCACTGTCTGCATCATGTTATTGTGCCTGTAACCGTGTGATAGCTGTGCCGTGTTGTGCAAAGACCCATTTATCGAGACAATTCAGCAACTTTTTACTGTCTAGTTTGTCTGTGCTGGGATTGTGACGACAGCGCATGGATGGTGATTGGTAAAACTGGATTTTTTTTACATTGATTTTACTGTTTATCTGTTGCTTTTTCACTCTTAAATGCACTTTTTTAATGCGAGTTATATTATATTGTTGCAATAATTTGTGTTGAACAGAGTCAGGAACCGAGAGGGGTATTGATTGTATGTTGGATGTATGGATGATGGGGCTTTCATATCAGGTTTAATAATAACAATAATTACTTACATTTATATAGCACTTTTCTGGACACTCAAAGTGCTTTACACACATTTTTGGGGGGGAATCTCCTCGTCCACCACCCAGCATCCACCTGGATGATGCGATGGCAGCCATATTGGGCCAGTCCACACACTACAGACCAGCTAATTGGTGGAGAGGAGATGAAGCCAGTTATGATATGGGGATGGTTTGGAGGCCATGATGGACAAAGGCCAGCGGGCAAATTTGGCTGAGATACCGGGGTTAAACCCCAACTCTTTTTCGAAGGACATCCTAGGATTGTTAATGACCACAGAGAGTCAGGACCTCAGTTACATTCAAAAGACGGCGCTCACTGAGCAGTATAGAGTCCCATCAATATACTGGGGGATTAGGGCCCACACAGACCACAGATTGAGCGCCCCCTTCTGGCCTCAGTAACAGAACTTACACTTTTAATAAAATAAAATTTTATTGAATGAAATAGAAAGAGATTAACAATAAATAAAAAATAAAATAACTATACAAATAAAAATAAAAGAAAAAGAAGAAAAAACATAAAATCAAAAATAAATAAAATAAAAAGAAATGAAATAAATTAAAATAAAACATAAATAAAATAAAAAGAAATTAAAATAAAAAATAAAACAAAAAGAAATTAAACAAATCAAATAAAAAAATAAAACAAATAAAATAAAAATAATAAAATAATATAAAAAAATAAAATAAAATAAGAGGACCAATGTATGGATATTACAGACACAGAGTGGTGAGAAGTTGCTGAATAGTCCCTTCACTTCATGCAGTGCTTGATATCGATTAAAAAAAATCCAATATTAATGCAGGAAAGGTTATAAGATAGAATTCAAAACGTGCATTGGGTTTCTAAATGTCGTATACGCATGTCACCTTGGTGTGAAGCAGAATTACGGATGTGTTCTACCTAATTTGGGGTCGTAAAAGGAATGATATTGCTTTGTAATTTCCCCCCCAAATGATTGTTTGTACAACTTCGGTTTCATTTTGTACAGAACGTTATTAATGTAAACATTGTACATAGCGTGGCCCTGCAACAACAATCATTTAAGAAGAAAAAACAAACACATATTGTCATGAAGAAATGTGGTTTGTATGGAAGATTTGTGCTTTTGTTAATGATGGAGTGGTCCGGTATACATGAGAACTGGCCACTTTGGATGTTCGCAAAAATGACCACTGAGATGTTGTCCATCTGTCATAATAAACCACAACGTTCGTTAACTCTGTTCTTTCTTGAGTCTTGCAAATTAAGTGCTGAATCTATCCAAAATGTGATTTATAGCTGTAGAAAGGACACAAATTAAATGGGTGAGGAGACGATTTATGAAAAAGACTGGCTGCAAGTATAGTGTAACCAGGGATGGGATGCTGACAGCAAGGGTGTGGATCCAAATGCAGGTTTATTAGCATGGTCAGGCAAGCAATAGTCAACACAGGGGCAAACAGATGTATACAGGCAATGCAGAATCGTAGTGAATAGGCAGGCAGATGGTCAGAGGCAGGAAGCAGACAGGAATAAACAAATAAACAAGGCAAGGTTCAAAAAACACAGCAAAGCAAGACAAAGGAAAACGCGTTAAAGTGTCACACACAGTAGACAAGACTCAGCAACATTGTGTGTGTCTGTGCTGCTTAAATAGTCCATGAATCAGTCTGTGAGCAGCTTCAGCTGTGTGTCTAATCAGTGGCAATTTAAAGCAGGTGTGTGTGTGTGTTGCATGACTGGATCTCTAGTCCATAAAATGGCAGATTTGTAGTCTGTGTGAATGTTTGCCAGCGATCTCTGGTAGTTAGATCTCTGGTGATCGTGACATACAGTGTGCTATATTTCAATCTACAATTAAATAAACTAAAACTGCAGACAGAAGTTTGTCCATTTGTAGTACTGCACAACATTGGACAATCTAACCTAATTTGAGTGCATTTCTTTTGCAAAATCTTGCAAAACATACGCAACTAATATTGTAAATGATTAGTTACTTAAAAGTGACTAAACCTGTGTTAAAAGTGATGGGTCGACTTGATATTTTTTTTAAGTGAGTAAACCCATTGTAATTTTGAACTGTTACTTTTGACTTAATTTTAATAATTGTGCACAATATTAATTTGCTCAATAATTTTAAGGCAACAGGTTTACTCACTTATTTAAGTAAAATCAACTAATCACTTTAAAAGCAAAGGGTTTACTTGCTTTATATTTTAAAAGTAAAGTCAATCACTTTTTAAAGTGAATATAAAGTACAGTACAGTTTGGTAACATAGCATAGTAATACATATTCATACAGGGGGAAAGAAAACACAAGAAATGCACATCATGCTGCATCTTGATAGGAAACTAAATATGTAAGAAATGTGGATGACATAACACATGCCTTACCAATCATCTTATCTAAGCAACATAACCGTCCAGGGAGTCATATGACCCAAAGATTGCATAATCTCTCTTACACACTCAAAATAGTGTTGGAGAAAGTTACTTGATAATGCATTACAATATTGAGTTACTCTTCTAAAAAGTTACTAGTTGCTTTACTTTTTATGGTAAGTAATGTGTTACGTTATTTTTTTAGTTACTTTTGCGTTCCTTTTAGTTACTTTTGCATGACTTTTTCTTACAGGCCGAGGCTCCATCTTTTTCAGAAATTGTTTTTCTCGTGTAATTTGTCTAATGTGCGTGTGTGTAGGACTTCTCTTCTGTTACACACTCAAAAGTATACTTTTTCTTCACACAAAAATCATTTTAAGACAAAATGTTAGACAGCAGGACGCTGCATAACTTATTCTAACATTCGTGGTAGCTGAAACATTTTTATGTTTTTAAGATTTCCACGTGTAATTTGTCTATAATTAAATGAGTGTATTCTTCCCTTCTGTTACAATCTCAAAAGTATACTTACTATTTACAAAAAATATCTTTTTAAGATGTAGTAGGGGAGCGCAGGGCACAAAGTAACGCAGGGTAAAATTTAACACACAGTTTTAAGGTATTTGCTCAGGGTTAACCATGGCATGCTTCTGAGATTTTCACCAAAGTGTCGGCAGACGACTTTCTGCCAATTATTGCAAGAGTTCAGCAAAATTTGGATGAGAAACATAGGAGAAACCATTTTTTGTAGCATAAAAGTATTTTTTATTATAGTCTTCCAGCTAACTCTATCAAACCTCTGCAGCTGCTCCAGAACGCAGCAGCACAAGGGGTCTTTAATGAACCTAAAAGAGCACATGTCACTCCGCTGCTCACCCGTTTGCACTGGCTGCCAGTTGCTGCTCGCATCAAATTCAAAGCGCTGATGTTTGCTTACAAAGCGACTTCTGGCTTTGCTCCTTCTTATCTGCTCTCACTTCTGCAGATTTATGTGCCCTCCAGAAACTTGCGTTTTGTGAATGAACGTCGCCTCGTGGTTCCATCCCAAAGAGGGAAGAAATCGCTTTCCCGAACTTTCACGCTCAATTTACCCAGTTAGTGGAATGATCTCCCTAACTGCATCAGAACGGCAGAGTCACTCGCTGTCTTCAAGAAATGACTTAAAACTCAACTATTTAGTCTCCACTTCCTTTCCCAATCTGCAATTGCCTCTCTGGTTATACCACTAACTGTACTCAAAAAAAAATCTTACATTACTAATGCTTTCCTTCTTAGACTTTACAGACCTGAAACTTACCTACAGCACTTATTCATTGTTGCTCTTATAGTTGTGTAAATTGCTTCCTTCTCCTCATTTGTAAGTCGCTTTGGATAAAAGTGTCTGCTAAATGACTAAATGTAAATGTTAATGTAGTCTATTTTTTTTTTTTTTTTTGCAAATCTATGCAAGTATGTTAGTAAAATTGTTTTCTAGATGGAACGATTTTAAAAGATGTAAAAAACACAGTGACTGCTTTCATGTTTTGAAGAAAACATGACACAGCGGGGCTTGTTGGGTGTCACAAATAAGCTACGCACACCAATTAAACAAACAAAATAATTGTTGAATTTTGAGTGTAATGTTGAGAACTTTATATTTAAAAAAATAGAAATAATTGAATTAGAAAAAAAACACATTTTATTGCTAATAATGCAAATAAATCCATCATATAATAATGGATAATAATGCAAATAAATTCAAATGTCTTTATTCAAGGGATAAATAAATAAACATGTTGTGCTATATAGAACAAAAATTGAGTCAAAAACTGAAGAAATAAATACTATTTAAAGTAAAATCAATTTTAATAAACTATGTGAAATCTGACTTTTTAAGTCAGACTTACAACTAACCCTCTGTCTGTTATAACTTGCCCCGCAGGTGGGGTAAATAGTAACATTTTTACTCCTTGTACTTTTAGCAATACTGCACAGAAGCCATAGGTACGGCAATCATACCAGTGCTCATTTAAGAGGCTTGTGTGTTGTTGATATATATATATATATATATATATATATATATATATATATATATATATATATATATATATATATATATATATATATATATATATGGTTTGTCTAAGCCCATTAACTTGTTCATTATTTGGCCAAAACAAAAAAAGTGTTACTTTGTGCCTTGCTGTCCCACTTCTCTCCTATTCTTCACAAAAAAAGTATAATTTTAAGACTAGTATACGAATTAGGACGCAGCATAACTTAATTTACCTTTTGTTGTCGTTTGAACGCATTTTTAAGTTTTACTCATGTGATTTGTCTAATTAAATGAGTGTAGGCCTATACACTGTACTTCTGAGGGCGCCCCTTCCCCCTTCTCGTCATCAGCTGAAGTGTCCGTGATGCTCAACTCCTCAGCGGACACTTGAGACTCTTCCTAGGGGAGGAGTTGGCCGTGCCTGAGCCTATAAATCCGGGGTGACCCTCTCCAGGCCGAGCCGAAGGACTTACTAGGTCAGAGGGATCCCTGAAGCGGACAAGCATGCCGGCAAAACCAGCACCGATAAAGAAGTCGGCTAAGGCCGCGAAGAAGGAGGAGCCGGCACCGGCACCCGCACCTGAGCCCGAGCCCGCGCCAGCGCCTGAGCCCGCTCCAGCCGAACCCGCACCGGAGCCTGCGCCCGCCGAGCCCGCTTCAGCAGAAGCCGCCCCAGCTGAAGGAGCCCCGGCAGAGGCACCGGCTGAAGGAGCGCCCGCTGAAGCAGCAGCACCGGCAGAAGCCCCTCCTGCCGAAGCTCCACCAGCCGAACCCGTAGCTCCTCCTGCAGGTACTGAGCGCGCAGAGACCCCAAACACGCAGAGGATCAGTGAGAAAGTCTAAAGACATATTGGGTTAACGAATCTCTCAAAAACAGAGCTGTAACTAGCTTTTCTTATTCCATAAGAAAAGCAGTCATATTTCAGTCCATAATTACAAGGAAAAATAATAAATTAAAGCTAAATGGCCCGAAAAAAAAATAGAAAGGGACAGTTTATTCTAAGGTATCCTTCACTCAAAGGTGATTCATTAGATTTACTATTTTGTTTATGTGACTGGTTGCAAAACTATTTATATTGGCCTGAAATTAAAAATAAATTGAATTTGTTTAAATTCGGCAAATGTAAACTATTTGCAACCAACTAAAAAATGTAGAAATCAAATTAATCGTTTTTTTTTTTTTAGTTCTGTTACTCATGTACTTTATTAATTACAAATCATTAGGCATAGTTATAAGCAACTAAACCTAACCCCATCCATATAGCAAGTATACATCTAATCAATTAATATTATTAAATTAAATGTAGGAAAATATTAATCGGATAAAGTGAGTACAGAAAAAAAATACCTTAACATTTAATAGTAAATATTCATGTCTATATTTAGCAGTGCTATATATATATATATATATATATATGTACACACACAAACACAATAGTGAACATTTGAAGTGGATCACATCCTTCAAATGCTGACTGCTATACACTGTACTTAAAATGTATTGTAAGTACTGTTATAAAAATCTTACCATGCTTGTTCTAAAAATAGATCATGTTCTGTATGGGTGTTACATCTTCTTATCCTTGTGATTTCTGGTGAAATATGGCACTGTTTTTGTGAGATCTATCCAGAGATTGTGTTGGATCTATCATGCTATCATTACATGCAAACAAACAAACAGACACTATTAACAAAATGCATGTCATAACAATTATCTCAATGCACGAGAACTCAATGCACATTACTGCCGGAGCCAAGAGCTCTTGGTAGCTACTTGGAAAATATCTGAGTACAGCTGATGGTTTAAAAAAAACAGCAGCGAGCGTCTACACCTGTTAACCTCTCCTCACTTCCACACCATACTGATCACAGCAGCTGTTCAGGCTGAATTACCCACACCCGCGCCGCTACTCTGGGTGTCTTTGATATGATGAAATAAGCATGGTAATAAAAAAATATATATCGTTTATTAGTTAAAAAGCTGTTTAATCATCCTTCTCACACCCGTTCTGCTACTTTGGGTGTCTTTGAAATAAAAATAAATTTAATAAAATAATAATAGAGATAACAAATAATATGCTCTGCTACTTTAGGGGTCTTTGATATCCATATATATATATATATATATATATATATATATATATATATATATATATATATATATATATATATATATATATATATATATATATATATATATATATATACATAAAATAATAGTAGAAATTTAAAAAATAGGCTTTGCTACTTTAGGGGTCTTTGATATCCTAAAATATAATAACAATAATAATAATAATAATAATAATAATAATAATCTATCTTTTATTAGTTAAAAAGAAGTTCAGTCGACCTACTCAACACCTGCTCTGCTACTCTGGCTGTGTTTTTAATTGAATAAAATAATAATAAATTTACAAAATTCTGCTCTGCTACTTTAGGGGTCTTTGATATCCAAAAATATATAATTATAATATGAATAATAATACAAATCTTTTATTTATCTCCTATTAGACAAAAGGTGTTCAGTCTGACATACTCAACACCAGCTCTACTACTTTGGGTGCCTTTAAAATAAAATACTACTTCTACTAATGATAATAATAATAATAATAATAATAGACATTTAAAAATAAAAAAAATCTGCTCTGCTACTTTAGCGGTATTTGATATGCAAAAATAAATAAATAAATAGATAATTAGTAATAATAATAATAATAATAATAGTCTATCTTTATTTCGACCTACTTAACACCCGCTCTGTTACTTTGGGTGTCTTAATGGGTGGGTAATAATAATAATAATAATAATAATAATAATAATAATAATAATAATAATAAACATAATAATCACAATAATCATGATAATAATAATTTAATAATAATTTAATAGTAATTTATAAATAATAATTTAAATTTAAATTTGAATAGTAATTTAATTTAATTAATAATTTCAGTAGACCTGTTCAAAACCCATTCTTCTACTTTAGTTGTCTTTGAAAAAAAAAAAACATAAAATAAAACAAACAATAATAGGGGTTTTCTCTCCCTTAGGGGTCTTTGATATCCAAATATAATAATGATAATAATAATAATAATAATAATAATAATAATAATAATAATAATAATAGTTATAATAATAATAAATCTATCTTTATCTTTTATTATTTATAACACTGTTCAGTCTGACAAACTTTACACCCATTCTGCTACTTTTGGTGTCTTTGAAATACAATAAAATAAATAATAGTACAAGAAAAGTTTAAAATAAATGTGAATTAGTTAAAAGGCTCTTTAGTATTATTGTTATTAGTACTATAATTACTATTATTATTATTATTGATATTATTAAGCATATTCTCTAATTTGTGCTTTCCTAAAATAAAATGATGGTTCCTTATAGAAAACCGTAAAATGGCGGAAAGTTTTTTTTAAATAATTGTATACAGTTCCCACATTAGTTTATCATAAATTACAAAGGTGACACAGAGATTATTTTTATATATCAATATATTGTTTTCTTAAAGGGATTTGATATAAAAACAAAAGATAAAAACTTAATATTTACACACTCTCAAGTGGTTCCAAACCTTTTTGAGTTTCTTTTTTTTCCTGAAAAAGACAAAAGAAGATATTTTGAAGAATGCTAGAAACCGGTAACTTCTGTAATAAGAGAGAAATGCAAATCCACTAATATAAAGCTTACAATATTTTCGCAAAACTCCATCAAATACTTTTTTGAGAGCTTCTACAGAAGCCTAGTTGCTTTGTGCTTAAACTCCTTCAGTATAATCTGCGGTCATTCATGTGATAATCAGTGTGCTTTACTCTCTAACTAAAGCAGAGCGTGCTTTTCACCACCTGTGCAATTATTATTTTAACAGCAGCTCTATCCACTGAGGCAGAGATATTTCAAGCTCGAGGCGAATGCCAGCGTCCCTATTTAGAGTTTTAGCACAATGGATGAAGAACAATAAATATTTAACCATGATGTTTTAATTAGCAAGACCAAAGTTTTTAAGTAAGAAGGTAAGTTTATTGTCAATTATTCACAGATTTTGGGTTTGAGATAAGAAAAAAATCATAGAAGATATAATAATGATAGCTTAATACATCAACAACAAACCAAAATGGTTTTAAGTATATTCAACTACACTCAAACAAAGTTTTTTTGGGCTTGTTCAAGCTACTTAAATAAAATGAGCTGAAACAACACAATTCTTGAGATTTCATTGGGGAAACTTATTTTTTTATGTTCAATCCACGTAAATGTATTAAAAGTGTTAAGTAAACTTAATTCATTTGTGTTGGGTCAACATGAAGGATTTATGTGGAGCCCTGCATTTTTTACAGTGTATTTTGTGTGGTGTGCTTACTGTATTCACTGTAAAAAAATGTCTTAACAAAAAAATGTCTTAACACAAATGAAGTTAACTATTTAAGTGGATTGATCATAAAATATTTAAGTTGTCCCTCCAAAAAAGCTTGAGAATTGTGTTTCTTCAACTCATTTTAAATAAGTCGTGCAATACATTTTTTTAGTCTTTGCTATCATTATTTTGTATTATTGTTTACTCAAGATTAAATGTACTGAAATATATTTGAAACAGACAAATATTTGTGGATGTCACCGATCTCAATTTGACAAAAAAATGTCTAATGTCTTCGATCAATGACTACTTGCACTGAAAAATAGGACGTTTGCTGTTTGGTCAAACTACTTATGTATTTAAAATGAGCTGGAACAACACAATTGTTGAGGTTTTTAGGGGACAACTTAATTGTTTTATGTTCAATTCACTTCAATTTGTAAAAACTAATAAGTTAACTTAATTCCTTCATGTTGCCCAAACACAAATCAATTATGTGGAACCCAGTATTTTTTTACAGTGTGATTCCGGTTTGTTATTCCGAGTTATTTAATATGCATGCAGAAGCTTAAATGTTTGGTCTATTCTAATATTTTACTAACATTTAAAAGTGCTTTTGCTGCAGGAGCCGCTGCACACGCTGCTGAGGCCCCGCTGATATTAATATCAGTGATGATAAACATGTGTTTGCTGTCTAAAGCGTGCTCAAAGTCAACATGAAAGAGGAAGCGTTTGTAACCCTTTCAGCTTCCTTAATTCCGCAAAACCAGTCATAAGTGTACATTTGATTTAAAAAATACAAAATGTTAAAAAATACAAAATCTGAGACTTCAGAGATATCAAAATACTGTAAAAAAAAAACACCTTAAAATTTGTTTTAATTTAATTGTAATGTAATTGCGAAATTGTACCACAAAACAAGGAACAATTAACATCACAAGGCACATTTACTATTAAAAACAAATTTAAAATCTCTTTTAAAAATCTCTTTTAAAAAAAAAAAAGTCTCTTAAAAATGCATAAATATCAACACAAAAATACAGAACGACATTTAAATTGGTTTAAAATCTACCATTTTGACCTATACAGTGCATTTTGTGTATTTAAATTTATTAAAATCTATCATTTTGACTATACAGTGCATTTTGGGCATTTAAATTGATTAAAAATCTATTATTTTTACCTCTACAGTGTATTTTAGGCGGTTTAATTGATTTAAAATCTATCATTTTGACCTTTACAATTTACTTTGGGCATTTAAATTGATATAAAATCTATTATTTTTACCTCTACAGTGTATTTTGGGCGGTTAAATTGATTTAAAATCTATCATTTTGACCTATACAATTTATTTTGGGCACTTAAATTAATTTAAAATCAATTATTTTGACCTATACAGTGTATTTTGGGCATTTAAATTGATTAAAAATCTATTATTTTTACCTCTACAGTGTATTTTGGGCGGTTAAATTGATTTAAAATCTATCATTTTGACCTTTACAATTTATTTTGGGCATTTAAATTGATTTAAAATCTATTATTTTTACCTCTACAGTGTATTTTGGGCGGTTAAATTGATTTAAAATCTATCATTTTGACCTTTACAATTTATTTTGGGCATTTAAATTGATTTAAAATATATTATTTTGACCTATACAGTCCATTTTGGGCATTTAAATTGATTTAAAATCTATCATTTTGACCTATACAATTTATTTTAGGCATTAAAGTTGATTTAATATCTATTATTTTGACATATACAGCCTATTTTGGGTGTTTAAATTGATTTAAAATCTATTATTTTGACATATACAGTGTATTTTGGGCATTCCTTTGGGCAGTATTTCTTTGGATGTTGGCAAAAATACACCTGTGCAATTTAAGACTGGTTTTGTGGAATAAAAAGCAATGACAAAACAAATGAGGAAGATTTCATGATGACTTTAAAAAAAAAATTCTAATAATGAGCACATAAATGCATATGTTTTAAAGCTACTTGTTTGGGGGGGTAATATGCCAAAAGTTCCCCCAAGCTCTGATGTCATAATTAAACTAAAGCAAAGCTTGAAGCTCTATTATATGCTGCTTTTATTAATGTGCCCTGCTTATTTAACACCAGCTGATGCTGAAGCTCCACCAGCCGAGGAAATCAAAGCTCCTACACCACCACCACCTCCAGGTAAACACACACAAATATAAAGCTTTTCATATCAACAGTATTACTCTTATGTTGAGTGTCTTTTTTTGCAACGGAAGCTTCAGACAGAGTGCCTGATCTAAGTTTAAAGTATTAAATGTGTTATTCTCCTGCAGAGCCCACCAGCGAGCCCCTGGAGCTTGGCGTAGAGGACGTAAATGACACCTCCGTCACCATCTCATGGAGACCTCCAGCAACCATCGGAAACTCCGGCCTGGATGGATACGTTGTGGAGGTCTGCAAGGAAGGAAGTAAGTGCTTACAAATAAATACATCTTGACCATCTTTGTTGCATACTTGACATAAAAATAATGCAATAATTTACCAACATTCAATATAAATCAAGACAGGTTTAGTTTAGTTAAATTTATTAAACGTTTAATTTATTAAAAACAAAATTATTTAATGAAACAGGTTCAAATGAAAGCTTTTATTAATCACATGCAAAATAAAAGTATTTGTTTACATAAAGTTTCCTATGTATATATATGTGTGTAAATATGTTAAAGTATATGCAGTGGTCCCTTGTTTATCGGTGGAGTTACATTCTAAAAATAGCCTGCTATAGGCGGAATCTGCGAAGTAGTCAGCTTAATTTTTTATAACTATTACAGTGGTTTTAAGGCTGTAAAACCCCTCGCTACACACTTTATATACATTATACACATTCTCAGACAGGCATTAACATTTTCACATATTTCTCTCTTGTTAAAACACTTTTAAAACTGAAACCCTCATAGAGAAAAAAAGAAGTCCAGTATTGTAGAATGCAAACAAAAACCTAAATCTGCGTAAAAATTCATCCGCGTTATAGCAAGGAACCACTGTACATGTATGTGTTTTGCATTGATATATAAGTATATATATATATATATATATATATATATATATATATATATATATATATATATATATATATATATATATATATATATATATATATATATATGCGTGTGTGTGTGTGTGTGTGTGTGTGTGTAAATATATATAAATATATATATAAATATTTATACAACAGTTCTGTCTGGTTCTCGAATCTGATTGGCTGATAGCCGTGATATATTTAAGTAATATCAGCACCCGTACAGCCTCTTTACCCTATGTGTATTACTCCCCCCACATACAGTACAGCCAGCAAAAAGCAGACACTACAGATCTAAAGTTTAAAAGATGCTTGCTCAACTGTTTAACTGTCAGCTTATGATTTGAACGCGGAAGAAAGTAGTTCCTCATACAAAAGGGTTTTTGAGACTCTCCATGTTTGATTTTGTTTTTATATACACAATTATGCCGTCAAACGGTTGTATAAATGCAATATCACACTCGTAGCAGTGCGATATGGCTGTATATAAACACTGGTGGGGGCACTAAGTCACTTGGCCTGCGGCCTCGTGCCAACGAACGCCTCCCACTAGTGCTGATATACAGCCATATCGCACTGCTACGAGTGTATATATATATATATATATATATATATATATATATATATATATATATATATATATATATATATATATATATATTGATATTGATATATATATATTTTTTTATTTCATGATGATATACTTTTAATTTTCATCCAAAGCTGCAATAATTGATATTGCAATTAATATTGTTATTCATGTCTATTTAGAACAAAAATGATTTAACTACACAAAATGCTTACAGTCATCTTTTTACTAATATCCTTCAAACTACTAGGATTTAGTTCTTTATCAATTTTTAATAATTAAATAAAAAAATATATTTAGTAAAAATATTAAAAAACATTAAGTTTTAAGAGTTTTACAGAAATATATCTTATCCTGGATGACGAACTTTATATATACAGTTAAAGTTAGAATTATTACCCCCCTTCAAATTTTTTTCTTCTTTTTAAATATTTCCCAAATGATGTTTGACAGAGCAAAGAAATGTTCACAGTATTTCTGATTATATTTTTTCTTCTGGAGAAAATCTTACTTGTTTCATTTCGGCTAAAATAAAAGCAGTTTTTGATTTTTTTTAAACACCATTTTAGGGGCGAAATTTTTAGCCTCTTTAAGCTATATTTTTTCTCGATAGTCTACAGAACAAACCACTGTTATACAATAACTTGCCTAACTAGCCTTAACTGTCTAGTTAACCTAATTAACCCAGTTAGGCCTTTGAATGTCACTTTAAGCTGTATAGAAGTGTCTTGAAAAATATCTAATAAAATATTATTTACTGTCATCATGGTAAAGATAAAATACATCAGTTATTAGAAATGAGTTATTAAAACTATTATGTTTAGAAATATGTTGAAAAAACGTTCTCTCCATTAAACAGAAATTAGGGGAAAAATAAATAAGAGGTCTAATAATTCAGGGGGGTTAATAATTCTGACTTTAACTGTTTATATATATATATATATATATATATATATATATATATATATATATATATATATATATATATATATATATATATATATATATATATATACATATATATATATATATATTTAGTTAGTTAGTATACACTATTATCTTTTATATATAAAATTATATATTATATACTACTATTATTTAAAACATATAGGTGTAAACTATATTTAATATTTACCTACTAAAATAGAATTTTTGAAATGAGAATGAGTACTCTTTTAAATCTGGAAGCATTAACAACTTATATCGAAATATTTATCGTTATTGTTCAATATGGAAAATAATTATTGAATTATTTATTAATTATTGCAATTTTGCTTTATCACCCAGCAAATTAAAATGAAAATTATTTTTGAAAGTGTTATATACAAGAGATACTAAGTCAACACGACAAGTCTAAATGTTACATAACACTGCTCTCTAAAACGAGCATGTCTTTGCTAGTTTTAGATTTATTGATGTGGTGACTCTTGTACCCTCATAAATTTATTTTTATGCATTGACTGACTAGATAACAAGTCGATTTGCCAAGAACTGGTTCATTTGGATCTTTAAATGCTATTTCTAATGTCCCTAGAGTGTGTGCAACCCAAGCTCATTCTGAAAACGTAGCCACGCGGACGTTTCTGGAAACCGCGATTTACGTGGCTGGAGGTGCGTATGGCCGCATTTCATTTGTTCAAGCGAACGCTATGGGGCTTTGTGATGCCTCCCCTCTTCGCACTTGCCGGCTGGGCTGACGGCTCACCTCAGTTTGGAGGGCTTTCCCGCCGCAACCAGTTTGTCCGGTTAGCTCGTTGTGTTACGTCGGCGAAGCGAAGGCCCGGAGCCGCCGTGACGTACGACCGGGTTCAAATCTGGGGAAGAGCAGTTCCAGAAATCAGGTAAGACAAAAAACAGAAACCAAAAAAAAAGCGAACGAGTTGGTAACGGGATGAGAATGTGGTAAAATCCAAAAACGCGGTCAAAAAACGCTGCTTTTCTTTTTCTGGACGGCTTTTGTAAATCGTCGCTTGGGTTTAAGGAAGAAGGGTTTTGGGTCGACTAATTGGCCGGCTGCCCAGTCAATCGTTCAATCATTTAGCCAGTCAGGCAGTCGGACAGACGGTCGCTCGACAGCCGCCCCCAACGACTTTTTACTCTAGAACAGCGCGGGCTCGCGGATTCGAGAAAACAAAAACTGCACAAATATGTTTCTCCCGGGATGTATTTCGTGGTCTCAATAAATGTCCGCGGGGTTATGTTTCCAGAATAAGCCTGGTGTGTGTGTGTGTGTGTGTGTATGTATGTATGTATGTATGTATGTATGTGTGTGTGTGTGTGTGTGTGTGTGTGTGTGTGTGTGTGTGTGTGTGTGTGTGTGTGTGTGAAGTTTTAGCTCCAAATACCACAAATAATCTTTTATTGCTGTCTGAAACTGACCTTTTTAGGCTTTGATCCTAACTGTGTCGTTTAGGTGACTGCCGCTTTAAATTAAAATGAGATTGTGCTCTTTTCAAAAGAGGGCGGAGCTATGTGAGCCTATGTGTCAGCATAGTGGCTGATTCAAAAACAAAACTAACGTCCTACGTTAATGAGGAAGAGTTTGTCAGTAATAGGCGGGGCTTTCCGCTACTAATTGACATTCTCCCTTTGTATGTGTCATCTTAGTGTTTCTTTTATTAAGAGTGATTATAAAAATTATAATTAATACCATTAGACGCTGGTTGTATTCACAGACTGTTCCCACATAGCTGTGTTTAAAAGTGATATTCGCATAATGGGTCCTCTTTAAATGAAACCCAACACAGCGTTCAAATGTTCATTAGTGTTTTATTAGCTGGTCAAACCCCTGGGCTGCACCTGTCTTCAATCTGTCAACGGCTGCATGTACTGTACAGCAGCTCAGTTCTGGCCCTATATGGACTGAAGCATTTCTAGAAGAGCAGGGCTGGAGCCGTCATGGCAGACGCACTGTAAACAGATTCACACTTGCTGAGCCAGCAGTTAAAATGCTAATACAGTCTGTAAAATGTATTTGAGTGCATTTTAAAATCTTAATTCATTAAACAGTTTCTAAAGTAAACTTTTGTATTAAATTGTAATACTTGTAATGCAATAATAATACTAATTCCATTTAGAAAGTATTTTTAAAAAGTCTGTCTAATTATTCAGCAATGCATTTGTATAATTGTTCAGTTAATTTATGGTTTTGATCAACAATTATGTTTTTTAAATTTTATTTAAATTTTTTTAGTTCTAATATTAACACTTAATATCAATAATAATGCTTAATTAATTGAAATATTTTCTTTAAAATAAGGCAGTGTGTTTATTTAAAATAATATTTGCATTTGTTTATTTGGTGATATTTTCAATGCAATAATAATACATATTTTATTATAACATCACCTATCAAAATGTCTACCTAATTAATTAAGGATGCATTTTTATAAATATTAATTGAATGTAAGGTTTTGATCAACGATTGTGTTTTTAAATTTTATTTGGATGTTTTCAGTCTAATATTAACACTAAATATCAATAAAAATACTTAATTTATTGAAATATTTTCTTTCAAAATGCATTTTTGGATTTTTAGGCAGCATGTTTATTTAAAACAATAATATTTGCATGTATTCTTTTATTTGGTGATATTTTAAATGCAATAATAACAACACTAATTTTATTTAATTATCACTATCAAAAAATTCTATCCAATTATTCAAGGATGCATTTTTATAATTATTAATTTATTATAAGTTTTTGATCAACAATTGTGTTTATTTATTTTAATGCAACATTTTTAGTTATAATATTAACACTTAATATAAATAATAATACTTAATTTATTTAATTATTTTCTTTCAAAAGGCATTTTTGGATTTTCAGGCAGTGTGTTTATTTAAAATAATAACGTATGCATGCATAAGTTTATTTGGTGATATTTTTAATGCAATAATAATACAAATTTTATTATAATATCACCTATCAAAATGTCTACCTAATTACTCAAGGATGCGTTGTATAAATATTAATTTAATATAAGGTTTTGATCAACAATTGTGTTTATTTTATTTGAATGTTTTTAGTTCTAATATGAACACTAAATATTAATAATGATACTTAATTTATTGAAATATTTTCTTTCAAAAGGGATTTTTAGATTTTTAGGCAGTACATCTATTTAAAATAAAATTTTTTATGTACACTTTTACATATATGTAATTATTCAACAATTCATTTTAATAATTGGTAATTGAATATAGTGTTTTGATCAACAATTCAGATTTTTTTGCTTTTATTTCAGTGCTTTCAGTTATAATATTTACACTTAATATCAATAATAACAATTTTTTGTTTAAATATTTTCTTTCAAAAGGCATTTTAGATGTTTGCTAAAGTAAAACAGCTAAACAGAACTTCTGCAACCTGTACGATTAATCTACAATTAATAAATCTCTTTTATCACATTTAATGTGATGCAAACACCAATTTTTTGCATGATTCGTAAAACAGCTACATTTTTAAACTAAATTATTAAAAGCTTTATTAATTAAAAATACTACCTGTTTTAATTTTGAAACACCAGAACTTATTGAACAAATATACAACTAATCAACAGATTATATCATAGTTAAAAGGATGCAAATGTTAGACAACTCTGCCATAATATATGACGCTTCTGACTGTTATTAGAATTCATTGTTGATTTAATCTCATCCAGCTGCTGACTGGAAAGCTGCTAACGAGGAGCTGACCGTGTCCTGCCGTTATGTGATTAAGAACCAGACCACCGGTGACCGTCTGAACATCAGGGTCGTGGCCATGAACCCCGGCGGCCGCAGCCCTCCTGCCACTCTGGCCGACACCGTCCTGGTCAGAGAGGTTGTGGGTACGTCTCTGTACATTTCATTTCTTACTTTTATAAATTTGATCTGCTTTATACTTGGTGGAAACAGGATTCTTTGAAGGATATAAACTTTAAAAATTATTCAGTAATTTTTTTTTTCTTTGACAATTATATTTAATCGTTTGACAGACGTGTTTATTTAAAGTGAGTAAAAAAATAAGAACAAGAAGGAAAAACTGGTAACACTTTATAGTAACTACACACTATGAACCATCTATTACGCATTAGCAAATAGTGAATTCATTATCTGTTAAGCATTAGCTCTACATTAGTAAGCAGTTCATAACTGCGACTACAAATGCTGTATTCTTGACTTATAAGCACATTTATAATGTGCTTATTGATTGTATTTTCATACGTTAAGGATTCATTTTTCAGTACTAAATTAAGGATTGCATCATTTACAAACCAGTTATTCAAGCACAGTTGAAGATTATTCAGAATGTGCAAGTGAATGATTAATAAACTGTTCAAACTACCATTTATATATCTAATTATTCAGGCATATGCTAATAGTTAAGTTGCATGCTTTACTAACTTAACTCAACTTCATCCAGTTTTGTGACTTAATCTAAAGTCAGGACTATTAATGCTTTATAAATCCCTTATAAATGACAATGAAAGGCTCAGTTCTATTCTAAACAGGAAAAAAAAAAAAAAAAAAAGACTTTATTCATTTCTATTCACTTAAACAATCCGACATAATATTCTTCTGGACCGGCTCGCTTCAATTGGCATTGGTAACACACCTCTCAGCTGATTTCATTCATACCTCTCAGGTCGCACTCAGTTCATTCAGTTAAAGTCTTTCCCCTCGTCATCAGTCCCTATCACTACCGGTGTGCCCCAGGGTTCAGTTTTGGGTCCGCTGCTATTTATCATCTATCTTCTTCCACTTGGTTATATTTTCCGCAAACACCAAATCCAATTTCATTGCTACGCAGATGACACCCAGCTCTACCTATCAACCAAACCCAACAACAAACTCCCACCTTCATCCCTTACTAATGGGGTATATGCCGAAGCATGCTAATAGGACTTTTAATTTGCCAGTAACCTGGGTTAAGCGCTTGAATGCCAATGCAAAATCCGGTGCGTTTAAGGTCTGTTTTCTTTAAAAATGAGCGATCTCCACTAGCTGAGTGATATCCGATTTAAAGTGGGTCTCAGATTGTACAAGAAGCACTGCATTAAATTAAATTTCCCCCGCCATATCTTTAATATATGAGCATTTATTTTACCCCAGTTTATTCAATGGAGATTCTGCGTTAGCCTGCCGATTCTGACGGGCGAGTGCGAGCACACTGCTTTTTGTCTCATTTTACGCTTGAGCAACCAAATGAATGCTAAAGTTTATTTAACTAAATGTATTTTAATGACATTACAACATCGATGCTGTATAAGGAACCGTATAAAATGGAAAAAAGTTCACAATAACAGGTCACCGGAAGTGTATCAGCATGGGAACAGCACTAGCTCGGCATATACCCTATTGCTTTGGAGACATTAAATCCTGGCTCACCTCAAACGTCCTGAAATTAAATGACAATAAACTGAACTTCTACTTACAGGTACACGATCCACTTTAAATAAATCACATAGTTTTTCCATTCCCACTGATGATTCTGTCATTACCCCATCCCCTCAGGTTAAGAGTCTGGGGGTCATCTTCGACAGCACCCTTTCATTCACTGCACATGTTAATAATGTCACCCGATCTGCTTATTTCCACCTTCGCAATATAAATCGTTTACATCATTCCCTCACACCTCATTCAGCTGCCATTCTTGTTCATAGTTTAGTCACATCCTGTTTAGATTACTGTGATTCCCTTCTGTTTGGCCTCTCTAAATTTCATAAATTACAACTGGTACAAAACGCTGCAGCCCGTATTATCACAAAAACCCCCTCTGTCTGTCACATCACACCCATTCTACAACAGCTTCACTGGCTTCCTATCTTTTTCAGAATTAATTATATAATACTTCTTCTCACCTTTAAAGCCATCCACAATCTCTCTCCTCCACACCTTGCTAATCTTGTTTATATCACCACACCTTCTCTAACCCTCAGGTCTTCTTCTTCCATTCACCTCATTGTTCCCTCTGTCCGCCTTGTCACCATGGGGAGCAGATCCTTCAGCCACTCTGCTCCTCAGCTTTGGAATTCACTTCCTCCTGATCTCCATAATTTAGACACTCTTTCACAATTTAATTCCAGACTCAAAACACATCTGTTTAGAACAGCCTATTCTCTTTGACCCGATTCTATTTTTAAAGCTTGTATTGTATTCTAGTGTTTTTATTGTGTTTTTATTTGAATTGATAGTTCTAGCTGTCCTGTTAGGTGACCATGAGTGTCATGAAAGGCGCCTTTAAATAAAATGCATTATTATTATTATTATTATTAAAGGTACACAAATGAAACTGTATCAAATGAATAATAAATATTTGCAATCTTAAACTTAAAACATCTAAACATCGTTTAAATGACGTTTAAACATTGCTAAAATATTAAAATGTTGTAGCATAATACTGTATGTTGTTAAATGATTATATTGTTGTTGTTTTTATCCAATTTTGTTATACTGTATTTTGACACTCCTGTTTTTCAGCGATGTTTAAACTTTATTTTATTTGATTTATTTTACTTTATTTTACTTCATTTTACTTTATTTATTTGTCATTTATAAAGCATACATAGTCCTTACTTTAGATTAGAAAACTGCATAAAGTTTTGTTAATAAAACATTTATTAACATACATAGTAACACCCCATTCACACGGGACGTCAGCTTCAATGCTTCCCATTCACTTTGAATGGGTGACGTCTGGCGTTCTCAAATTGCGTTATGGATCTGTTTGCACCGCTTCAGAGGCGTTGCTCGCTGCAGAAGTTGGGACTTGCTCAATGACAGAAGCGTTAGCCAATCAGATCGCTGTATGCAAATACACCAGCTCAGACAGCTCATCTATCTATCTATCTATCTATCTATCTATCTATCTATCTATCTATCTATCTATCTATCTATCTATCTATCTATCTATCTATCTATCTATCTATCTATCTATCTATCTATCTATCTATCATCTATCATGTATGTATGTATGTATGTATGTATGTATTTATTTATTTATTTATTTATTCATTCATTTTTGCCATAGTGGAATGAACCACCAACTATTCCAGTTGGGTCTCGACCTAGCAACCTTCTTGCTGTGAGGTGACAGTGCTAACCACTAAGCCACTGAGCTGCTCCCAATAAATATTTAATAACAAAAAAAAAAAAGATGTTTTAACATTATAAAAGTTTTCAGTCACATTTTCAATCATTTTCAATCCAACTAACCTCACACTTTTGTAGGCAGTGTATGTTATTTATTTATTTATTATTTATTTATTTATTTATTTAGTTTTTATTTTTGTTTGTTTATATATTTATTTATTTATTTATTTATTTATTTATTTATTTATTCACTTATTTGTTTGTTTATCTGTTTATTTATTATTATTTTGTTTTGTTTTTTGTTTGTTTATATATTTATTTATTTGTTTATTTGTTAATCTGTTTATTTATTTATTTATTTATTTATTTATTTATTTATTTATTTATTTGTTTGTTTTTTGTTTGTTTTTTTGTTTTTTTGTTTAATTGTTTATTTGTTTATTAGTTTGTTTGTTTGTTTAATCATTTATTCATTTATTTGTTTTTTGTTTGTTTCTTTGTTTGTTTAATTGTTTGTTTGTTTATTTGTTTTATTTATTTTATTTTTTATTTATCCATTTTTATTCATTTGTTTGTTTGTTTGTTTATTTATTTATTAGTTAGTTAGTTAGTTAGTTAGTTAGTTAGTTAATTAATTTATGACAGTTAATTAATAAGTTATAAATACAATGCTTCAAAATACACATCAAATTTTCACCCATTCCAAAACAAAAGCCATCAAAAAAATACTATACCTAAAGAGCAGTTTCCCCACGTAAACAATCATAAATAAATGATGATGATGATGATGATGATGATGACCTTTTACGAACAAACAATGAACAATACATTTATTCTAGTATTTATTCATGTTAGTTACTGAAAATACAGTCATTAACAGGTGCATTAACTAATGTGAACAAGCATGAATTTGGATGATAATAATGCAGGTATTGTTGACAATGAGTTCATGTTAGTAAATACATTAACTAATAAAACCTTATTGTAAAATGTGACCTCTAGGACGTCCACCAAATGGTTTAAATGGCATAAATGAGTTGGCCTGTACTTTCTGTCCTACTTCCATGCCAGCTTTCTTTGGACATTATTACTGTAAATGCTGGAGCTCAGATGTGGACATGTAGCAGCTCTAAAGATCAGGGGTCTCTGGAGTCTCAAGTATCCCAAACCTCAGAGCTATCCAGAGAGGTGAAATTAGTGCCACGTCAAGCAAACCTCTCATGCTGTCCTACAGGCCTTTCTAATTGGCTCTGAGTGACTGCCAGCTGGGGAAAAAATACATCTAAATAAATCTACCTGACACGGTTCTGGCTTCAGTGTGAAGAAGTGTTGCCTTGCAGACTTACACAGATCAAGCACAGGCAATAAAATCATAAATGTCTTGGTAATGATATTGCTTTTGGCAGAAAAAAAGCAGATGTTGCTTAAGCTTACGTCATTATTTTATTTCAACAGAAAGTAAATGTTGCTTTTGCAGTTTAATTTAGTTTGCATTGTGCATAAGCATTATATTGAATTGAGATTAGATCTGTCACAGGAATCAATATCGCAACATATCATGCAAAACTTGGAGATGACCCTAATAATTTTTGCCATTGCAATATATACATTTACAAATTCACAAACAATTTTAAGGGCATGTTGCAATGACATTTACATTCTAGCCCACCGGTGTTAAAGATTAAAATTGGACATTAATTCATTCATTCATTTTCTTTTCGGCTTAGTCCCTTTTATTAATCAGGGGTCGCCACAG